ATGATGGTCCGAGAGTTTCATTGATCTCAGGTCTTCCGTGATTATGTTACCGGCCCATTCATCCGGTCCAATCAATACAGCCGTGAGAATGCAGCGACCGAGCTCCAATTACCACGAGGCTTTGTGGCCTTTCTGGGTTAATTAGTGAGTTAAATGAATTTAGTACGGTAACATGTGGAATAAGGTTTTAGATCGGATGCGACAGCCTTGAACAGAATCGGCGGCGTAATGAAGTTTGGTGAATGGTTTATTGGGGCAGAGCACCCTGCGTCCCGGTAAAGATCTGCTGTTACTGCTATGGAAACCGGGGTGGACTGGGGCGTTCAAGCGGCCCGGGAAAAAATCAAAGCGGCCCGCGGGGAAAAAAAAACAAAAAGCGGCCCTATCTTCATGACTTTTATTTTTATTATATCACCGGTCCTAGCGGCCCATCGGGAATCTTCCCGGTGTCCCGGCGGCCCAGTCCACCCCTGTATGGAAATCTTCTAAATCTTTGCGACGGTAATACAAGTAGACGTCTATGACTACCACTAGTAACCAGAATTAATATGCTCAGTATCTAAATCTAAACATCCCACTATTACAAATAAACTATGGCCAAGTTCTAAATCTATGGATGCCCCTTTACAACTGTAATATGATCAACTTGTAAATCTATTCATACCCATTTACAGGTGTAATGTGTTCGACTTGTAAATCTATCCATACCCCTTTACAAATGCAATATGGTCAACTTATAAATCGGTGCATGCCTCTTTGCCACTGTAATGTGATCAACTTCTAAACGATCCGTCCATCTTTCGTACATATCACCTCTATCCGAGGGCCGTTGAAACATTAATTGTGTCTCTTTTATGTATTAATGATTAGATATCACAGTCATAGATTAGAATGCAGTTATGAACTGAAAAAAAAAAGTGCCAGTAAATAAGTGCAAAGACATGCCACAAATCTTATCGCCATCTGAATACCAGAAATTGTGCATTCATTGTAAGTGGGTAAGTGATGGGAAATTATAATGCTTAAGCTAATGATTGTGTGATTAGGGACGGGAAGCCAAAATAACATGATATGGGCACATCAACAAAACCACCCAACCCCCACGACCAAAAATACACGGGTTTTTTTTTTTTGGTTGTTTGGGTGGGGAGAGGGGGGTGGGGCTTTTTTTTCATTTTTTTTTTTTAAAAATCCCTTTCCATTTGCCCTTTCAGGGGAAAAAAAAAAAAAAAAAAAAAAAAGTAAAAAAATAACTTAATGTTAATCTTAAAAATCAATTACGCAGACAACTACAAAGAAATTGTTTAGTTTTCTACAGCACGCTGTTGCTTAAATTTGGAATCAAAGAGAGTTTATACTGCACGACAAAGACCCTTTTCTAACCAGGATAGAAATCAGTTATTGATTTTTAAAAAAAAAAATTTTTAAGTTTGGTCTTAGATTATATACATGAGTCACTAAACTAACAAGACAGTAAATTTGGATTACCGGTGGTTAATAAATCACGCTAAATTGACAAAGGGAGATCGTGCATTAGACATGTAGTTTACATCACATGATCTATACAAATATCTGATGAGGGTCGCCCGGGGGGGGGGGGGGGCTATAAAAAAAAAAAAAAAAGAAAAAATAAAAAAATAATGTTATGTGTTGAGTTCGGTGTGTACATTGGCGTATGCCGTGTTAACAATAGATAAATAAATCAGTATAAAATTAAAGATTCATCAACTTAAGGTGAAAAATTAAGCAATCATTTATGTTACAGTTTGTATTTGAAAACTATTCATCAGTACATGTAATATGGCAACATAAACAACAAAATGTTTATAAAGAAGTGGACAATTGACTTAAGAGCCATTCTTAGGAGTTTGGGGGGGGGGGCTAAGCATGGAGCGTAGGTTGGGGGCCCCGGAAGTGGGGGGGTCCAGGGGTGGAGCTCCCTCGAGCTGAGGAGAAAACACCACCCACCACTGCGGCACCTCCATTCTGCCGATTTCCTGTCTGGCACCCCCAAAAGCTCCCCCCTCCTGCTTCACTTCCCCTGCCTCCGAATTCAACTCAGAATGATACATTTCAGTATGAGGAAGGTAACGTGAGTGACACAGACGGCTGCAGTGCCAGTTTAAAAAAAAACCGGGGGATCGAGGGTGCCTCACGGGGGCCCCCTCACGTTCGGGGCCCTACGCGGATGCGTAGTCAGCGTATGCTTAAGATCGGGCCTGTTGACTTGAAGGATAATTGTTTTATGAATAGCAACAAAAACAAAAAATGATGAAATAATCAATTAAATCAGATTACAGAACAAACTTTAAAAAAAGATTTTGACCAGAAAATAACTGAGATAATCCTTTTTGTCTTCCCTACGTCACAAACATGACATAACGTCACGTCGTTACAGCACGCCGTGTCCAGGGAACTGGCCAGGCACCCTAATACGCCATGGGGAGAACTCATTCGACGCCAAATCTAAGGCTTCTGATATTTTGCTAACGTTTAAGTTTAACAGAAGCATGCGCACAAGGGATTTCTGTTCGGTTGACAATAATTGTAAATGTTTCATTTCAATGGAAATTCCCATTCTAGTCTGGTCTTATATATATATATATATATATATATATATATATATATATATATATATTTATATTATTTATATGCATTCATGATTAATTATTCTCTAATGTTTATGACAAAATGAAGCGAAAAATAAACGTAACTACAAATAATTACCTCTAATTATTATTATCATTTAAATAAATTCTCCAAGCTCCGTAAATTTGAAATGCTCCCATCGCTTTGAGAACTACTTATGTAGACCAAATCTTCAGACGTGGCTCTCCTGTATCCCTCAGAACCCATCAATGATGTAGGTTTTAAAGTTAATGTACTGTTATGTCAGAAGAAAAAAAATTCAATCTCAAATTTACTGCTTGATGAGAAAGACTGAATAAATTATTATTTTTACAAAAATCATTTCATGCAATGTAGTTTCCATATCCATACTTAAATTTAACTTTTTTTTTTAATTCTTTAAATTGCAGATATTATTATATATATGGACAATAATGTCCAAGGTGCTCCACCAAGAGCTTTTGTAGAAACTCCTTATGAAATAACAGTTTTCTGATTTTGGGGGCGTTGAGGGGAGGGGTGGGGTGATGGCATAACGAGGTGGTTAATTTTTAAGAGAAGAAAAATATTTTAAGTCTATTTCTGCAAAAAAAATTATACTTAAGAAAAGCGTAGGGTAGTATTTACACCAAGAGACGCCCTTAATGGTGCCACTGCAAGTAAGGAATGAAGTAAAGCCAGTTGCTTACACATAAATAGATGCCACAACAAGAGAAGTTGATGGGAGCTGAATTAAGGGGACATTACCCTGGGCTCTGCTCTTCACAAAGGAGACTTGTGTTGGCACAAGCAAACGCTTTTTTAAAAAAAACGGAATACGTTTCTGTCATGTTCGCACAAGACTGAGAAACGAATCAATAGTTGTATGAGCTCTGAGCATTTGAAACTATTCAAACAAAGTTTACAAACGACTTATAAATAATGCATGCATTGATTAGCCTTTGTACTGCATTTTGGTGATTAGCTGGCTCATCAAGCTGCTTGGTGAGTGGGTGGCTCATCATACTGCATTGGTGCGTGGGTGGTTCATCATGCTGCATTGGTGATTAGGTGGCTCATCATGCTGCATTGGTAAGTGGGTGGCTCATCATACTGCATTGGAGAGTGTGGAACTCATCATACTGTATTGGAGAGTGTGGGGCTTATCATACTGCTTTGGTGAGAAAGTGGCTCATCATGCAGCATTGGTGAGAGGGTGGCTCATCATGCTGCATCGGGGATTGGCTGGCTCATCATACTACATTGTTGAGTGGGTGGCTCATCTTACTGCATTGGTATCATATCTTTCATATATTTGACATCTTTCTCTTGTATATTCGTTTAAAATCTTTTCCAATACCGCTAGCCCTCCTGAATGTATTTCATTAACAGATTATGTGTTGATAAACAGTATACAAATCTCATTTCATTATAAAACGAATAAGATTCAGGAGCTGTCATCGGCACGTCTTTAATAAATATCCCTATCATCATCAATGAAGGGCAACTTCGCATGAAAGTTATCGGCGGTCTCATCATTCTGCATTGGTGATTGGCTGGATCATTTTTCAGCATTGGTGATTGGCTGGATGATCATTCGGCATTGGTGATTGGCTGACTCATCAATCTGCATTGGTGATTGGCTGGATCATCATTCTGCATTGGTGATTGGCTGGATCATTTTTCAGCACTGGTGATTGGCTGGATGATCATTCGGCATTGGTGATTGGCTGACTCATCAATCTGCATTGGTGATTGGCTGGATCATCATTCTGCATTGGTGATTGGCTGGATCATCACTCTGCATTGGTGATTGGCTGGATCATCATTCTGCATTGGTGATTGGCTGGATCATCATTCTGCATTGGTGATTGGCTGGATCATCATTCTGCATTGATAATTGGCTTACTCATCAATCTGCATTGATGATTGGCCGGCTATGTTACAAAAATTTGATGCTGTGTTTCTGATAAATATATTTTTTTTATGATGGACACATCATTCTTTCCATGTCCTTAATTCTAATACTAATACTGAATATTCATTACTAGGCGAGGGCATGTGAATGAATATATTATGGTTCATGATGCTTCGCCTTCAGTCAGTTCTCTGAAGGTATTACTAAACTCTGATTTGACCAGCTACATTGACGAAGAGTGCTTGTTTAGAGCTTCTCAAAATTATCAGTATATCCACCAGATAGAATCATCAACAGGGACCCTGGCCCTATTTATGACCAGACCAGTTTCTAAAAATGCTACACCTTTAGAGTAGCAGTGTGCTAGATGTGACTCATGATAGGGTGAACTAACTAGCAATGAGCAATAATATGTTTTTAAAATGATAGAGCCAACACTTTTTCTTTTAAAAAACACATTTATTATTAATAAAAATATATTAATAAAAAAAAAAAAAGTAGTTATTAAATATCATTGAATTTGGAAGAGCAAAACAACAAGGTCTTAGGCAGAGCACACGATGAGGATCTGTAAAGCTAACTGCAACATGAATGAGGATCTGTAAAGCTAACTGCAACATGAACGAGGATCTGTAAAGATAACTGCAACATGAACGAGGACCCATTAAAGCCATTAGGTTTAAAACTCCATTCCATTGCTCCTACACTCTTTTCAAGACACATACAATTAAACTAAGTTAATTAGCCCCAAACAATTTTTTTTTAAAATAAACAAATATTGTTTTGCCCTGAATGATCTGACTAAATATTTTCTGGTAATCATGCATTCATATTGACAAATCCACATTCTAATGGTCTTGAGAGAACCAACAACCACCCCCCCCCTCCCCCCAACCCAACCACACACAAAATTTGTTTCCATCAATTTATTTTCCCCTCTATTCAAAATTTTCTGGCACACATCTGAAACATTGCAGACAGACACGCCAGTGTTTCTAAGACCCAGGAGTCAAAAAACATTGAGACAGACAACTAGTTTTCAGGTACCATTCTGAACAGCAGAGTTCAGATACCAGTACATATTTAGACCCCAAAACACACAGAATGACAGATAACAATATAAATGTACATTTCGCCGATGTGCAACAGCAATGCACACAGCACTGATGATGTACAACAGAAATGTACACCTAAATGTGGAATCCACAGACATCAAAAACAAACACACTCATCATCAGTCTGAGCAATTATTATTCAATATGTTTTTTTAAATATATTTTAAGATACTTAATCCTCTCGTTCAATACTTTTGTCCTCTGTTTTCAATGCTATTTTTCTGCAGGCTGGATTGGATATTAGCAAATTTCTTTTACTCCCCAAATTAACTAACAATGCAGAGTAAAGTTTTGAATTACACAAGTCTTGTCAAACAGACATAATCCTTGACATAGTCACATCATTAAAAACATGCAAAGGGAGGCATGGACTTAGTTTGCTTCTTACACAGTGCATCTACTCCATTTGATTTCTTTTAAAACATTAAATATCTATTATAAGTATAAGCACGAAACATCTAGAACAAAAAAAAATAAATAAAACAATTTTGCAAAGCCAGCCTTTGATACATGTAATTTGCTTGTGGTCTTTTTCTTTTGATTTAGAGAAATATAAAATTCCTAAGTACATTGGTGAATTACACACTGCAAGAAGATATTCCTTTTATAAATATTTGTGCCGGTAAATTTTCTTTGTACAAAATTATGAAAATATTAACCAAAAAAAAAAATTTTTTTTTGTCCATAAGATAGTATTCAGTACAATCCAAAACGGTTTTTATTTTTAAGCTGGTATATGTAATAGCCTTAAAATTTTTTAATTTTTTTTTAAATGCTTGCCAGAGACCTAAATGTTATCACAACACACATTACAAGAATTTGTCTGCTGTGTGAATAGAATGTATCAGAAAACTTTTTTTTAAATCCAGAGGACCCCTTGGGAATCTGCCAACCCTTATTAAATCTTGTGTCATAAAAATATGGCAATCTGCGCTAATGTGCTATTGGATTTAGTCATGCAGAAATGAACTGCTCTCTCAGGATGGAGAAGGGTAGCTCAAGTTAAAGCCCTACATTTAATGTTTTCACTTACTTCAATTATTTAAGTTCTCCCTTAAGGTATATCTTGTGTTGAATAAACTCACGAGGGTCCCAGGCCAAAAAAAACATGAATAAAGAGACATTAACAATGATGAGAACTAGAGCCTGATCTTTATGGTGTCGCTAGGAACTTAGAGCTTTGTTCAATAAAACTGTGTTCAAAATAACGGAACACGGATTCAATGAATTCAAACATTAAAGTTGTCGTAAGCATTGATTCATTACGTCAACTCAAATCAATGTCTAAAAAAAAGGAACTTAGCTCGGCTGTTAGCCTTTATTGGACAGCCAGCAATACAATTGAGTTTCATTTTTTTTCCTATATTATTATAATCCAGTTTTGAAAACAGAAATTAGCATTTTTATGACCAAAAAAAAAAATGTGACCCCACTATCCACAGTCTTAATAGAAACTTACTCAACTTTAATTTAATGTCATGATCATTTAAACATTAATGCAGTTGAAACATTTTTAATATACATATACCAGAAATTGCACAAAATGAAAGGTCAACATATAAAAGATATATAAAGTGTATGAACCACACAAAAAAAAAAGACAAATTGTTTAACTTAAAAACAACAAAGAACAACTTGCTTATCTTAGCACAGTGATAAAATATTTATAAAAACAAACCATTTTCAGGGAATAAATTAATACTAAATTAATCACATCTAAATAAATAACTCACAATGGTTGATTGACTGTAGGTTAATTAAAAATATAAAATAATAATAATAAAACAAATTTAAATTGGACAACCAAGCAAAAAACCCTACATTTAAAATGAACAGAGGTAGAACTTTTAAGTGGAAAAGAATAATGTTGTTAAACAAATTTAAATTTCTATGAAAAGACGATACATTTAAAGGTGATTTTAATAAAGTGTGAAAAAAAAAAAAGTTATGTTACACGAGAAACAGGCGGATAAAGCTGGTTTGGGAATATTTTAAAAACAGAATCGTCATATAATACTGATTTTCTAGTGTTGAAAGTGGGAAGGAGAGGTTTAAAATACAGATGTGGAACAAGAAAATTGTTCATGGGCATTCATTAAAGTAATTGATACAAATTTTTAAAGACATGAACATTTTATACTAATATTAAGAAAAAAAAACATTTACTTTTATATACAATTTTTTACAATCCGAGCAGGGCAACTCATTTACCAATGCTTTCATTAATCAGTATTTTCACAAACTGTTTTTCAAAATAGAGAAAAAATTTATTTTTGTTAAATTAATCCGTCATTTTTAATTTTATTTAAATATGGACTTGCAAATTTACTTACAAAAAGTTGCAAGGTAAATTCGTTACTGCAAAATCAATAAGATCATACGTGATGTCACAAAAATGTATACTTAAATTGTTATTGTAAACATCATCATTGCTGTCTATAAGGTAACATGCCCTTATTTTCCTTAAGACAATGAGGCCCAAAAGAAATAACAAAGTTTTGATTATTGCTTTCAATAAAATGTTATGGCTGGTTTTTTTTCCCTCTAAATAAAATAAACAGTTTTACAACAAAGCAGCTTGTTTCTGGTGCTCCTGTCTAGATTGATAAAGCAGGTTTTGTTTCACCCTTTCATCCAATTATTGCAAGAGATTACATCACTACAATACCTTGCACACCAACACATGACATTAATAAAAATGACTAGAATTTGCTCATTAGCACAGGGAGAGCAATCCATAATAAGGAAAAACACCTTTTCTTTTTTTAACGAATGTCACAATAGAAATTTCAGGATTACGCCATGTAACAACAAGTTGAGGATTCTAAGCTGATATTTCATGTTAAAACAATAACAAACATGTCAAGTTGACCCTTTGAGCAAGATGTCAAAAAAATAATAATGATAACTTCATTTACTCAAAATACAATCTCTATTTCACATATCATAATTTCCTTTTTATTGGAATAACAAAAAATATTGTTTGGTTTTTTTTAAAATTTAAGTCACCTATGTTTTCAACAAATGTCTGGATTACACCTTAACAAGGTGTACTTTAAACAATCCTTTATTAGAGGTAGTAAATAAGATCCACCCATTCACTCAAATGTGGAATTCTTTAAAAAAAGTGAGCATTATTAAATATGTGGTTCTTAGTAATTATCAAGTGTCTGCTGAACAATGCAACAGTTATATCAGCAGGGCATGGTTTGAGCTTGACGTGTACCACGTTTATAAAATATTTTACATGCACAATAAAAGATTATTTCTTATATTTTGCAAAAATCAGACCTATCTTGTGTGCACTCCTGGTTTCATTATGTTCCTTTTTATTCAAATAAACCAGAAAAATGTTAATATTTTAAGGCCAGTGTATGTTCAGAAATCTTTGTCAAGCATTTTGTAATGACCCACAGCATTTAAAGTCAAACTAGGCTTAGCACAGCTGTTCACAACAATTCTTAACACTAATGTTATAAAGAAATTTCTTTTTGCTACGGCCTGCACTTCAGGAATACAGTGTGGGCTTCCGCCAGCTGATTTATTTTTTTTAAGCAGTCGGGTTTTATTTATTGCTGTTGAAACAAGAAGCAATTATTAGGCAAAGTAGATTGTGATCAGCGGCTTCTCACATTTTACAGCGGGGTTATCAAACATTTACTCTATTCAAAAACCATATCTTTTATAAATATATATGCTACCTACTACAAAATAATTTGGAATTGGATTATTTATGGTGACACTAAGTTAATAAACAAATAAATAACACTTTCAAGATAATATTTAAAAACAAAGCTCACAACCACAGCTTTGCGCAGAATGAAGCAAACAAGCCGATACCCTAACAGTTTAAATTTCCTAAGAAGCTCTAGGGTAAAAATGGAGCTTGGCGCCCAAGCTGATAATACAAAGCAAACTTGGAACTTTTTATCATCAAACAATGATTTACCAAAATAAAACATTAATTAATGTGGTCTTAACGAACAGATTTGTGACAGGCAGATTATAACGATAAATAATTTCAAGCTCTTTAGATTTATAGGCAAGTTATTTTGAAAAATTTAATTAATAAGAGCTAAACATTTTAATAAAATTATAACACTAACCAGAATGAGACAATGAAAAAGGACTTACTCATTGTACATCAGGTCACCTTTGTAAAAGTCACTACTGAACACATACTTCATTGGTTTATCAACTACCAATGATTAAATAGTCCTGATGACCAGCCACCATTTTGATTGTCTTATATTGTAACAAAATTTGGTCAATAAATCACATTGTTGCACAGAATGACCGTCACTCAAATTTTAACCTGTTGGCTCATGGCCAGACGAATCTCATATTCTGGCCTGGTTTTATTTTCAGCTCGGAGCTGGTCATCTATCAAGCTTCCAAAGAGTTTTTCTGTGCTGGTATATGGTGCTTCATCAAATTTGAAAGCCTTCCCTAGGATAATGTTCAGTGCTGACATGTCATACTTGTGGCAGCCTGTGTACTTAAATAAAGGTTTGCGGAAGTAGTTGCAGCCAGAGTCCTGGGCACCAGGCGGACTAATGCACTCTTCTAAAAGAGCACATTTCACCCAAGGCAACATGATGTCTCTGGCTATTCTCTCTGTGTTGTAGATGATCAGGTGGGATGACTCAATGGCATGCTAGAGAGATAGAAAAAACAATATTGTTAAATACTGTCAAACATGAGGGGGGGAGGGGGATGTAAAAAAAAATAATTACTTAGTGTAAATATCGAAATAGAGATTTCAGATACTAAATTCCCTTACATTCCTAAGTTATTTAGATGAAATATGCAATGCAGAATAATTATATATAGCCATTGTCAAGGGAGAAGCTCAATGTACCTATCTCTTTTAAAAAAAAACATTTAAACGGTCTTTGACAAAAATTTTAACCTCTCAATATACTACAACAAAATAAATGATTTATTCGTAGTGTAGTTTCTATCCATCCCCCTGGCGCTACAGCCCATGTATGGCTTTGGCCTGCCTCATCACTCCCTTCCACTCAGACCTAAGACCTAAGTAATGCTTTCCTTTTCCATGCTTGGATTCTCAGCTGCTTTAGATAATTTTCCACATCATTCATCCATCTAAGCCTAGGTCTGCCTTTGAGCTGTTTTCCTCTGGGGTTTTGGTGGTGCACCCTCTTCACTCCTCTGTCATTCTTTCTAAATGACCCACTTAGCATAGCGTTCCCTTTTTTTTATTATTATCTGCTACAATACAAGTCCTGGTTAGGTCATATTCTCCATTCATATTCATTTTCTCTCCCATGTTAATAGGTTTTCAAACTGTTTTGTTAGAGTCCAAGTTTCACTGGTCTGATTACAGTTTTATATACCAGTTTAATTTTCTTTGTTTTTTTTTTGTTTTTTCTTGTACTGTTTTTACTTTTGAGTATTTCCTGACTATTGAAGTATGCCCTGCTTCCCGTCGATATTTTTTCTTTTATTTCTGTTACTAATTTATTTATTTCATTTAATAAAGATCCTAGGTATTTGAATAGATTTCCTTTTTCAAATGTGTGGTTTCTAATTTTAATGGTTTCATCTGTCAGTTCTTCTCTTATTCATGTATTTTGTTTTTAGGTTGTTAACCTCCAGCCCTGCTTGTAAAGATGTGTCTTCTAATTATATCATTATATTTCCCTTATCATGTTATTATACCTCAGGATTCAATATAGCTCTCTCTAGTGTTAGCTTAAATACCATAAAAGACAGTGAGTCTCATTGTCTTAGGTCTCGTCTAATCTGAAATTCCTTTGAATATTTTCCCTGAACCTTGATACTGCTTCTGAACCTTGATACTGCTTGTTTGAGTTGTTTAATGTTGCATGTATTATTCTTGTCAGTTTGTTGGGTATGCCAAACTCCTGCAGAGTCTCATATAGATATTTTCTTTTGATGCTGCCATAGGCCATTTTATAGTCCACATAGAGTTGATGTACTGGGATATTGTATTCATAACATTTCTCTAATAGGCATCTTTTGGTGAATGTCTGATCAGTTGTTAATCTACATTGGTAGTCATCTAGTATTTGTTAAGTGTATGGTTGTAATCTTTTGGCAAATAATTGTTCAATAATTTGTAGGTAACATTTAATAAGTATTTCTGTTGGAATTTTTTCTTCTAGACAAATTTAGTTATAATTTTGTATATTTTTCTCGCATGTCTTGTTTTCCTTTGTAATATGATCATTTGTGCCTTGTTCCTTTCTTCGACAGTCTCTCTGCATTCATTATCAAACCAGCCAACTCTACTGCTGAAATCCCACTACTTTTTCTGCTGATCTTTTTTATAGCATTTTTTATCCTATCCCAATGTTCATTGATGTTTGTTTTCCCTGTTTTATACAAGGAGATGGTCAGAGTCTGCATTTGCTCCTTGATAACTTATTACATCTACTATGTCTGATCCCTGCCTCTGATCAATTAGAACAAGGTCAATTTGGTTTTTGAGTGATTCCATGTGATGAATTCCAGGTAACTTTATGTGTGGAAAATCGGTGCTGCTAACGGTCATCCCTTTTCCTGAAGCAAAGTCTATAAGTCATATCCCATAGTCATTGGATTCTTCATGTAGACTCCCCATGCGAATAGTCGACATAAACACTTTTTTCCCCCCTATTTTGACATTAAAGTCACTATTTTAATATCATGTCATGCTTCAACTTTTCCAGCGTCTCACAAAAGGATTCTTTTATCTGACCTTCTGTATATTGGGTGAGAGCATGAACATTTATAAATGTTATAATAAATATTTTTCCTCGCACATGCAAAGAGGCATAGTGTAGTTTACCTGGAAAAAATAGGAGTGCTGGTCTGTGTTAAAAAATTTGAACATCTTGAGATGTGTGAAAGATGATGTGGGGTCCTTCAGTGGCCAGCCCTGAAGCCCCGATTCTTTGGCTGGCACCACCGCTGTTGTGAGATTGCCTTCAGTGAAGTAATACCCATCATCCACCCAAATGACAGCACCATATGTATTGAGCATCTCCTGAATGAATGAACACAGATCAACAACTCTTTAATACAGAGGCATACCTTTTTTTTAAATCTCAAAATGAATATGAAAACTAAGATGCTCTCAAGAGGCCCATGCACAGGACAAGTTGCTTTCATCACGACGGAGCTAAGTGTAACTTCATAACTATCTCCACATATTGAAAAACAGAAACCATTATCCAGACTTTAAAAGCTGACTCAGTAATAACAACAAGCAAGTGTTGTTGTTTTTTTTTATAAGTACCTGAATGCACACAGGCCGATAGCTACGGAGGTTCAAATACTTTAAGTGTGAAGGATACTTGTCAAACTTGAACGTTCTGATCTCACAATTCCAGCTGCTGTTACAATATTTATTGAGCTGCAAAAGATGATTCAAACAAACAAAATTTAATTTGTGTACATAGTCACTGCAACAATAGGATAGGGTTGCCACCAAGACTAATAATAGTAACAATTTTAAGAGATTTTTCAGATCTCATTAATTTTTTATTTAAGGCCATAAATACTGATTTTGATTGCTAAAACTGATTATTGTAAGCCAAAAAGTTAATAAATAACCTCATTTATTTATATATGTATACTTTTCATTCAAAGACAGATTCCATTAATATGATTTGAGCTTCAAATCAAAATCAAGTTGCTTTTATTAGCGATATAGGATGCATATTTTGTAACAGATTAAAACTACTTTTTCTTTTAAATAGCCAATTTCAACCCCCATTTTTTTTTTTTTTTTTTTTAATGAGACATATTTTGGAAACGTATTAAATAATATGATATTCAGATATTAACAAAAAAAGTGCTTGTAAGCAGTCTCTTTATTTTTTTTATTTTTTTTTTTTTTTTTCTTTTAACTCGCCAATTTCTCCCCCCTTTTTTTTTTTTTTTTTTTTTTTAAATGAGACATATTTTGGAAACGTATTAAATAATATGATATTCAGATATTAACAAAGAAAGTGCTTGTAAGCAGTCTCTTTGTACACGAAGAGATAAGGAAAAGATTGATATGGTCACCAATCATTATTGAAATTTGGTTCATGTCCCTTAAAATAAGTGTGAAAAACATTCTAATTAAAACACACAACACCTTGAATTACTCACCATAAGTTGCTCGGATGTTGATAAGCCTAGATCATACATCACAGATGTGTACTGAGGAAGCAGAGACTGAATAGATTTCATTAATACAGCAGCTTCCTTAAACAAGTCAGGCTTTACACCACTAGCAATAACAGGCAGGCCTGTACTAGTCTTAGGAGTGGGAAGTATTTCAGGTACGGGCTCAGTGTTGACACTCTGTTTTCCCAGGCCATCAATACTCACTTTACTTGTGACACTGCCACCAGCGGCGAGGCCAAGCAGTCTCAGGTACATGGGATCTACAGTCAGCTCTTTTTCTAATAAAATATAAAAGATTTTCTGTTTGAAAGTAGGTCAATTATTTTTTTTTAATTTTGTCTTCAAAACCAATATTTATGCATACAAAAGAGTTTCTGTTTGAAAGAAGGTCAATTATTTTTTAACATTTTGTCTTCAAAACCAATATTTTTGCATGTGTTATACACCACACTAGGAATAAAATTAAGAGAGAAATTTTTCAGTACAAATTATTATTTAAGCTACAACAAAAAATTTAAAACTGGACATTTTTAGATACTGAAGCCCAATATATATTCACAATAACCACAGTAGTTTCTCTGTCACATAGGCTTTGGGAAATATAAGAACAAAATTTAGCTTTGTTGCTCTCACATGAGAAACATTTATAATAACAAAAATTAATTTGTTACATTTGATCTGTTTCATAAACCATCACATAAACAAAATTATATTGAATATAAAATTTTAAAATAACCATATCAAATTATGTCCTTCTCTAAATAATATACTATGTTATTATTGAAGGCCTCTTTTATTATTATTAACAAACTTTTACAAACCTCTAATCTGTATACTAGAGGCCCGCCTGATGCCAGATTGTGTTTTACTCATAATTGTTTGTAAATTTGGTGAAGGGGAAGAGAGTATCCATAGAGATATTGTGGATACAACTACTAGAACCAAAATCATGTAGAAGTTCTTGGTCTTCATTCGATCTAAGGGAGAGCGTCCAGTCATCTGTGATGGTATTTAGGTGTCTCTCTAAGACTGTAATTGTTGACTTGTTTCTACCACAAAAGTCTTGTAAGTCCTGCTTGATGGAGTTAATTCACCATCTGTTGAACAATAATTATATCTTTTTGGCCTAAATTTTAAATTTCAACACAATAAATTATGAATTATAGGCCTAAGCTTCTGAAAAAATCAATAAACTTAGTAATATTAGGCCTAATGTCAAGAATATAATGAATAGGAAATTTACAAAATTTGAATCAAAAGTTAAAAAATTAACCAAGAAATAAGACGCTGAACTTCTGAATTAGTCTGAAGCAGAAGAAAAACCAAAATATAAATAACTTTTAAGACTAAATAAAAAAAAAATTTGAAACTATTAGTATGAGTCTATAGCATGTTATTTAATGGACAATATCCTATTAATTATAGTTATTAAAGGACAGGTTTGCTCTGCTCTTAATTTTTCTAGTAATTGACAGATAACATTAAACCCACTAATGACCTTATAAAACCTGCCTTATCCAAAAAGTAAAATAATTTGTAGAAATGTAGGCTTAACTAAACCTTCTTTTAAAGTAGAAGGTGTTGATGATTTCACTTAACCCTCTTGAGACGGCTGGGCCCATCTATAAACCCAGGGTAGAGTAGCGAAAAAGTAATATGGCAGATCTATTGGCCCGATAATTCAAGCCTCGATGTTGGCTGATTGGTCTTCGTGCCTATTAATCAGATTGCTTCTTACATACTCCGGCACATCTTGGCATTTTAATGGTGGCCTCCATTTATTGTTTAATTGCTTTTGTTGTGTTCACAAATTTATTTTTGTGTTGCAACTCTCATTATTGATTTTGCAGTGTGCAAATTATTGTATTGGGCAACCATTCACAGCCACTTGCATAATGACTATACCTAAGTGCTATCTCAGAGTTTTATTCATAAAAGTTTGCCGTGTGCAAAAACTATTAAACCAATGGTCAAGGAAAGCTTTAATTAATTAGACATGTGCCAAAGTTGAAAGTTCAAATTAACTAGTCCCTAAACAGTATTTCAGTAATAAAAGGATATGTTGCCTTATATAGACTATATTGTGTATACCGGTTTAAATGGACGTTATAGACTTGGTAAAAAGAAAAGCAATATATTATATTAAATTTACTGATTTACATAGTGCATAGTTACAATTTATTTATAAGTGTACAAAATTATTAAAATTACTTTTTAATACAGCGTTAATTCTGAAAATAAAATTTGTATAAAATTATCCTTAAAACAAAAGTTATTGTGCATAACGCGATCAGTGGAATGGGGTCACAAAATGTGGAGGTGTGGTGTGTAGTGTAAAAAAAAATGAACTCGTACTTTAAAAATTCACAGCTCAAAAAGTACAAAAGCTAGAAAGTTGATTCTGGTTTCATTTTCTTTTATTTTGAAATTGCTCTATATCACTATAATATTTAAGTCAATTTTTTTTTTATCAAAGTACGTAATATATTAGACCTATAGATAATTTTTTATATGGAATGGAAAGGAAATAGTTTATTTTTCATACATTTTTTTGCAATACGAGTGCCGAATAGTTTATTTTTCATACCATTTCTTTGCAATAGGAGTGCCGAGTTTTTAAAAAGTGCTCCGTCCTTTCGGCACAGACTCAGAAACTCCAAAAAAAAGCTTCTTCTCAAAAGGGTTAATATCATGATTATCATAATGAATCAGCAACAGGCAGCACCCTTTGACCTGAACCACTACAGTGTCTACAGGAACATCTCAAGTGTTTTTGCAGCATGCTAGAAACACAGGGCTGGTCACCACTGGAAGAATGGTGATGAGTATCTAGGCTCTCCATGATGTACAGGAAAAAAAATGGGCTGGTCTACTACTCCAGCATCAAACAGGATATTGTCCCTCACACACACCCCCCACCCTTTTTTTTTAGACAGGGACTAGTTTATGATATTGATAGTTTGATAGTCAGTTCCGGCTCATAACAGCAAGATACACGACAGGAACTGCTCAATCCTGCCAAAGACAATCAGGGAGTGGACCAATCTTCCAATAGTAAAAGGAACAGTTGAGGCGACAACACTTGACACATTTGAGTCTATTGCCTCCTGCCTTCCGACCCCCAGTTCCTAATTTAGGAGACGTGACTGAGGCCAAGGCGAGTCGCCGATGATGATGCTGATGATGGGCCAATGCTATTTTATTTTTTTTTAAACTTTTTCTTTTGTATTGATATATCAATTACCATTTAAAAATACGCGGCACGCACACAAAAATTACCTATTTAAATGTCTGTATCCTTCTAAAATATGAAAGTGTTCTAAGCATTACTACTATGTAACTTTTTCCAAAGATTTTAACAACATCACTCCTCGCATCGTGAAATTCATTTCCACAAAAACATTGGCCGTCGCTCCCAGTAATGCGCATGACCCACAATTAATGCAAAAAAGTTTATTTCCGGTGAGGAGTTGCTATTTTTTAATATTATAAATTATATTTATTTTTTAAAATTTAATTATTTCTCACTCAATTAAAAAAAATACACCAATATTAAAATATATTTTTAACCTTAAAATAAAAAATGTCATTTAAATTATCATTTAATGAAAAAATTGCTAAATAATTGTGTTAACTGCTAAACTTTGACTCCCTGACTTTAACTTTTGGAAAACAAGAAAGCAGCAGTCGTTTATTATTTCTTAGCAAGAGTAAAGACGGGCAAACTTTTGAAAATAATTAATAGTTCATTAGTTATTAAAAGTAATACATCTAATTATTGTCACATAAATATTTTAAATGCCTATCAACAAAAATTCACATCGTTCCGGTGGTATTTTTGGAACTCCTGCAGAACCTTTATTCAATAATGAAGAAAATGGTAGCAGTCCTGAAATTCTTCAGGACTGGCTAGTTAATATGGCTGTCATAAATTCAAAAGGAATCAAAGAATCAACAATAACCCAGGTATTATAAAACGTTTGGAGTTAAAAGAAACCCCGATAAACCATAACTACAATAGTCATAAGTTGTCAGTTGGACTGTATTTTTAGTTAGAAAATGGCTAGAGTTTAACCTTTATTTGTAATAAAATATTACATTTTTCATTTTACTTTTGACTTTTACTAGGTACTTTGACACAAAATTTAAATATTGTCCAATTGCCATGAATGATACATCATTTTAAAGGGCTAGCTATAACCTTTACAACAACACCAATTTCATCTTTCTATCTTTTATAGAAGTGGAGTTATGATTTTTTTAGTGATTTTTTAAAACCCTCTTCTTTATCTTTGTATTTAACTGTGAAAACGTGTAACTTTTACTAACATTAATAATTACTTTTAATTTTGACTCTGACTAAACTAAAGTTTAACTTCAATTTTAAGCAGGATAGGCTGATTAGCCTACTACTACTACATAGTCTACTATTGTACAGTCAATACATTTTTGATTGCGCTTCTTTCTGAATGCACCTAATTGCCCCAAAAATACAATAATAATATTATATTATATATAATTAATTAATTAATAACAATATTTGTTACAAAGTGAAGCTTTTACATGGGAAAAACATGCCATGGGACAGGTTTCATTTTGAAGTGACAACTCCGGATGATGTGGCATGTCCAATCACCATATACATGCAATTTATCATAATCATGTTTCTCAAGTTTCTTTATAATTTATAGAGCTTTATGTCGGAGATAAGAAATAATTTTGTTATATTATAATTTGCAGACCCATACTAGAACTTACAAATAGAGAACTTTTTTTTTTTACAAATATGAAGCCCTTATATTCAATTCCACTACTGCTTCACCCAAGTCAGGATAAAGGAGGATTTGGCATGGGTGGATGGGGGGTGGGGCACTTGTTACAGAAACAAGGGAAATGCAAACAAATTTTTCATTAGGAATGAAACAAGCCATACAGTGGTGTTAATTAAAGATGAATGATAAAACACAAGGACCTCTCCAAAATTGGAGAAAGAATAAAACTGCCACAAATGGTTGCTGCAGTGTCTGGAAAGTTGGCACAAGCAATGCCTAAATTAAACTACTATTCCATTTATGAGTCTGCCCTATGCTTTTACCGTAGGACAAAAATGTAATAAATACAATATTTCCCATTCCTAAATTACTTTGTTCAATACTGCTGTTTTGATCTCTTGTAGTACACTGCTTAATTGTTATGACCTATCCATTTCCATTTAGTATTTCTCACTCCATTGAAGTCCACATAATCCATTCTTAATTTTTCCAGTTGACTAATTTCAGGATCTTTTCAAAACTATCTTTCAAAGACACTTATTGATAAAGCCTTAAAGTCAAATGGTGTTTTCCTTTAAAAAATTATAAAAATCATGTTAATTTATAAATTTTGACGTAACAATAGCCAACATTCTTAGCTTTGCATACATTGAGCAATGAACTTTGAAAAAATATGTATATTTAAACACTTAGTATTATACCATGTACAAAATCATGAACACTTGTTTTCTAGAATATATTTACACATGGCAGCTGGTCTGAGTGTGTCTTCCTGATGTGCGATAGATTTGAATTACCATGCCAAGCAAAATATGCAGCATTAGAAATATTTGACAGGTATTGCCTTACTGGAATCACTTAAAACATTTATAAACTTTTTTATCATTTTGATGTATATCATAAATACTTTTTTTAATGTCTCCATATAATTTAACCTTGTCATCTAAAATCATTACTCAATATTCGTCATATAATGTTTAATTAATTTTTTTCCACATGATGGGCTATTATTTTAAACAGCTTAATTATTGTGTAAAATTAATTTTAGCCTCAATAATTTACAGATTTATGTTGAAGCACATTCAAGATTTATATGAACATGTTCAAAATACTAAAAGCACTAAAAAAAAAAGTGATTGGGATTGTATTCTGGATCGTGTTAAAAACCAAGCATTTCTTCGAATTCTGTCATGTTGCCAGATAGCAAGTAAACTCAACTCTCATTACAAGGTGAGCCAATAATTATTATTATTATTGCTATCCAATTTTAAGTCATTATTTCAACTTTTAAAATTTGTGTACATTTATATTTATATATATAGCTATTTAATTTTTTATTTTTTATTCAAGATAAAATGTGATTCTCTTGAGAAACCTTTTTAAGATATTATTAAAGCAAATGCTAAACACCTCATGTTGGAATGCAAGTTTAAGTGTCACAATATTATTAGTTTTAAATCAGCGAAATAGACATCTTTAAAATGTATATTAATAATATTATTTAATATAATTTACAACTGTTTGCTTTAGGTAATCACTGTCAAACGAGCAAAGCGCTGTCTCTTGGATGCGGGCTACAGTTACTCTTGTGAGAGTATTTTACAATCAGAAATGAGAGTCCTGAAAACTCTATCTTATACTGTGTCTAGAACAAGTTGCCTTGATTTTATAGAAATTTTGTTAGAGATTTTAGGTAAATATACATTACTCTATAAACATATTTATAATTTTGACTTTTGAAGAAAAAATTACTTTCAAAGGTTACATTTACACTTACACTCCTGAAACATCAAATAATTCTTCAATAATTTATTCTTTTGCTCTTTAATATTTCTAAAGAAATATTTAATTTGTAAATCTATACCTACAATTCTATTTCAGTGTTGCATTTGCTATAGAATGCCATGTTCATTTTAAAAAACCTGTGAAAAGAAAACAAAAGAGTTTTCAAAGAAGAAAAAACGTTTGATATTTTAAAATAAAAAGACAAAAAGGTTTTCTAACAAAAAGGTTGTCTTAAATATTTATAATTAGGGCATTGGAGCTGAGCTAGCTTTGCATTTTTTTACTTCAAAAAACTTATTCAAATGTATTTATGTGTGAATAAAACATAATTAAGAAGCCCAGGCTTAGTTTGTATATATTAAACAATTACATGAAGGCATCAGGGTAGCATGTAGTTCCAAGCACCTCACTTTCCAAGGATACTCTTGCTAGTACTATAGTTAAAATTAATCATACATTTTAAACAATGTAATTTTTCTTTTACCTGACAAGAATGATTAATTATCTAAATTTGGAGTTACTTATTTAAAATTCAAAAACTGAGAAGACCATGTTGTAATTAAAGGGGTAAACAATAAATTGAAATAAGAGTACACATTTTTTTTCTTATCAGTGCTTAAGATTTCTTCTAAATAAGTTTTTGTGTCTATTCTGACAGGGTATAACTCAGGTGGAGAAGGTTTTGATGTGAAAGTTTATCATGATACGGCTGTTAAGATTCTCACCATTATTTGTCTGCATCGCCACAATATTTATGACAGACTTTACCTAAGCACTGCTGGTATTGGTGCAGGCGTAATAGCATCATCTCCAGAGCAAAAGTACATTATTTTTCTTTACATTTCATTTTTTTTAAAATCAATATAGCTATTTAATAATGCCCTTGATTTTCAAACGTCAATGACAGTTTCTGTAGCAATAGAAATATTAAGACGGAAAGTTTACTGTGGTCAGCTGTTTTCTTTGGTTCCAGAAAAAAATTCATCTTGGTGTGTTTTTTTTGGTTGGAGCACATGAAATGTTTGCAGTAAAGATTGGCATTTTAAGTTTTTAACATGTAGTATTCACATTTCACAAAATTACTAGTAAACTGTAGACAAATAATTATAAAGTAATAATATTAACAAGCTAAAGGAATTAGTCTACCTTTAAGTAAGTGTTAGTTTTTAAAATAAAAGGGCATGCCTACCTAATGCCTAAGATTCTTTTAGTTTTATTGATCCAAATAAATAGAAATGTTTTTTTGTTACATTGAACATATATTTTCAGCACAAAAATAAATGAATATTTTAACCAAGACATTTTGCAATCAGATTTTACTTAGGATAGGGCCTTTCAAACACAAGACATCTTAAGTATTTCTCTAGCGTAATAATGAGCCATCATATACCCACAAAAATTAAATCCCTTATTAAAAATAATGACTTCATTAGTGATCATTTAGATTTGGTAACTGCTGGTAAAACTCTATTTTCTTTACTTTATTTATTAAGCGAGTAAAAGCATACAATTTGAACTGCAAAAGTGTTTTCCATAAGAAAACATTACTTGGAGATTTATTTTTTAAAATTAAACGAATAATGTTTTAGTTTTTATTCCTTCAGGACGAAGCTTGCTGCTGTGAAAATGGACAAAATGTTATTGTCAGTGACTGTGGTAGCTACTGCAGTTCACATGAATGATGTAACACTTACCAAACAGGTAGATACTCAAAATGCCTTTTCAGAATGCATGAAGAAATCTTTTCTATTTTTATAATAATCATGCTGCAAAATCTGATGTCATTCACATGTTGACTGTTGAGTATTTTTAGAGAGAATTCCTACTAATTTAAATAAACTGAAAACATTTCGCTGTGTTCTTGTTGAGTATATTTCCTTTTTTTTTTTTTTAAATAGAAGCGATAGGGCTTAAATGGTAGAGAGATAAGACCTGATGATAACATGTATTAAAAAAAATCAACTGTTTACTTAGTATAATATGTAATACAATAAAAAGACCGTTCAAAATACTTCCATTCTAAAAATATTTTGTTAAAAATCAAAAAATAATATTTTTTCTATATTTCTATTTTTTCTTTTTGTATATATTTACTTTTTTTTTTTTTTAAATAGAAGCGATAGGGCTTAAATGGTAGAGAGATAAGACCTGATGATAACATGTATTAAAATAAATCAACTGTTTACTTAGTATAATATGTAATACAATAAACAGACCGTTCAAAATACTTCCATTCTAAAAATATTTTGTTAAAAATCCAAAAATGATATCTTTTCTATATTTCTTAATTACTTTACACTTTATTATTTTTTAATTTAGGTGATGATCCATTTAAACAAGATCAGTGAAGTACCATTAGAAGACATTGAGGACTTTATGAATGTTATTCTTGAGAGCATTAAACAAAACATTAGCTCTCTGATGGACTGGGTGAGACCTTGACAAAGGAAAAAGCAGGTCTCATTGGGGTATTTTCATTTATGCCTATTTATTTAGTCAAAATATATATATAAAAGTTATGCCACTTGGTTTTTGCATTCCATCTTGTTTATGTTCACACATTTTGTCCTTTGTGATCAGATGTTGTTGATGGTCAATTAACTTAACAAAATAATATTTTTTTAAAAAATGAAACATATTAATAGCCATATAGTAATTTGTTTTAAATTGTTGACTGATTTGAGATACATTTGTCAAATATTATTTTTTTTAAAATGTTATTCTCATAGTAAATTGCCACATAGTATTTTAAATGGCTATTCTGCTTTAACAATGCGTTCAACAGTGTGATATATCTACTTTAAATTTTAAAAAGCTGTGATAACAAAAGAGTAAGTAAATTAAGGATGATGATGTCAGTGCAGGGGTTCTCTCCATTTTCTATGTCTCACCATTTGAATTAGTTTCCATAAATGATCCTGCACTGGCTCTGTCATCAGAATTTAATATTACTAAATACATTTGCTCTTTTGAAGCCATCCAAGTAAACTTTTGTCCCATTTTATGTTTCCTTTTCAGCTATAGCTGTAAGGTGCACCAGTACTATGTATATTATAACTATGACTGTGATAGGGTTTCTGTTGCATCAAAAATAAAGAAAAATAGTGATTGTTTTAACTTATTGGACATTTTTCAAATAATATTTGAGTTGTAATTGGCGATCATCATAAATATTCAAATTTTACACTTGAAGCATCTGTTTATATTGTTGAGATCACATTTTTGTTTCAGTTGCACTTCTTCAAGATATTTGTTATAAATATTATTTTAATTTTTAAAATACCAGTAAAGAAGTTTCTCAGCTATTTATTGACAAAATACATTGTGATAATGTAAATATTATGATATAAATAAAATATTTATCTTATAGCTGTTTTATATTTTGTGTTTTTCTTCCTTTGATCTAAAATAATTCATCATTAAAAAAACAACAACATTGTACTAGTGCAATGGTTAAGTAACAGCTCCATAAGTCTTTTAATATTTATTTTTCAATTTTGGGATGTTCGCGATAAAGTAATTTTATCTGCTCTGCTGAGTCTAAGAAAATAATTGTTTTAGTGTATACTCATGTAACTCAAGTCTCATAATCTTTGGCCCTTTTACTATGCAGATAAATTTTGAAGTTAGACTTGACGCTCTGTTAGTTAAATTATACAACTACTATTACAGCTATTTTAAGCTAACATTGTCATTTCCACCCAGAAACCTTATGTATCATTATAAATGGATATTAATTAAACGAATCCTTAAATTATTTTCAAAACAAAAACAATACTGTAGCATCTTAAGATGTGAGATGTCAGGGAAGCGACAATGTAAAACTTTAAAATAATAGACAGTACTGGTATATTTTTTTGTTTTTTTGTTGCACCTTGTTTTGTATTGGGGAATGGAGGATTTTTGTATGGTGAGATTAATTGTCCTGCCAAGATTTTATATATTTCATATTTTAAAAAGTAAATGGTTGTAACTCAATGGACCATGAGTAATTTAGAAGTATGTATGTGATTTTAATCGTTTCATTAACACTTGGCTAGGGTGATGGCCTTGTCTTTGAAATAGGTTAGTTATTAACTGAAAATGACACTGAGAATTGCTAAATAAAATGCATTCTAAATACAGAAAGTCTTTTATTCACTAAACTAAACTGTCAGCAGGAACTCCATATTCAAATTGAATCAATATCACAGTGAAAAAAAATAACACAAAGTCACCTAACATTTGTCTGAATTTTTTTTTAGAAAACCTCAAATACTTCCATTCATTTTACAATAAACTAAATGCACAATGATAACTTGACAGTCACAATATTAAAATGTTCAATGAATTTTATGGGTACTTTTCTAGCACAAAAATTTTTTTATATATATTCAGTAAATCAATGCTTTTTTGTGAACAGTAAAAAAAAAAATGAAATTAAAATGCAGTAATCCTTTATTTCTACATGTAATCTTTTATTATCTATAAACTTTATATTGGACTTTAATCAATTTATTTGCTTGTACAATACAAAATATAATGCCAACTATAAAGAGAGTTGTGAATTTTAAAAAAAACAACAAAAGGAAGTGTTTTTAATACCGGTATAAGAAAGAAAGGTTTAATAATAACTTGACATAAATATATGGAAATCATTGTTAAAAATTTATAATTTTAGAAATGAAAATGTGGAAAGATATTAAGACTGACGATGAAGCGAAATAACATTTATGTGTATCAAAATTCATGACACTTAGAATCTAAATCAAATAAAAACTCTGCAAATATTTCCTCTCTCCTCACAATTTATGAAGGGTGAACTAAAAAAATACAAATAAATTGTTTTGTGGAGACTAAGAAATTTTTCTAATAACTTTAATAACTTTAAAAAAAGGGATCTTTAAAAATCCCAAAGAATTGAGTTTTCAACTATTTTTTTTTAATAATCAGACTAGACAAAAAAATATATCCTGGCTCTTTAGAAAAAGCTTCTAAATGATTAGCAAACCCCTGATTTTGAATATTTTGAAATTTTATACATTAAATAAATAAACTTTGGCCTTTTAGATATACTTTTATGTTCATTTGTCAAGAGGACATCCATTTTGAAAATGTGGCTATTGAAAAAAAACAAGTTCTTCAAAGTATAGCCTCAATACATTAGTCAAATGTTTCAAAAAGCTGAAATTTCTAATTATGGAGTTATATTTTGACATCCAAACTAAAAACTCCTGTCTCTCTTTCATGAGTTTAAAATATTAACAAATTAATCCATTGATCTTAATACATTAACAATAACCCAAAAAAATATATAAAATTTATAATAAATAATTGAACTGCTCACAAACATGGTTCAAAACAGAATTTAAGACATTTATTTATGGTCATCAGCCTCAAGGTCAAGATATATTTAAAGTAATTAAATTTATAATTACAATATACATAATATAAATTATTTTAAAGCTCATCATCATTTTAAATTGATATTTTAAAATGATTGATTTAACTACACTGCACTGTTAAAAAATCAATTTTTAACAGAAAAGAGTTTTAGGCATTCATCAACTTTACATCTTAGCAACAACTACACAGTACAACAAATCAGGGCACAACAAAATGGGTTTTGGTCTATGTTACAAAAACTGTCTAAAACATCAATTTCACAATCCCATTGCTTTACCTAAATAAAATATTTGTACACATTTGCTTTTCTTCAGTGGAACTGGGTTCATAGTTATCACCTGGCTAATGTTGCATCTATCTGCCGCACCCATGGCAAAGTAAGCATAACTTTCCTCCTGTAGTTGGGGTCCATCTGTTTTTCAGAGTCAAAATAAATTGGGTTCCTTTCTAGATAAACGGTCTCCAGTTTCTTAAGTTTTGTCAGTGATTCCACTTCTTCCCAAGATTCTACAGCATTGTCATTAAACTAAAAATGGTAGAAATAAAGAAAGTGACTTAAGATGATATTTTTAAGAGCATTAAAGAATAGATTAAAAAAGGTTATATAAAAATGCATAAATGTTAAATATGAACTATCATTTGATCTCAGCAAAAAATTAGCTTAATGTAAATTTGCCATTATCTTTTAATATTTTATTTTCTCAACAAACCCTCTCAACTTAAATATGTTAATCAAGACTGTTTAATAAATTGATCACTTTGAAATCCTTATCTGAAATCCATTTACTTGTACTAACAACAAAATGAAATATGGTAACCTTTGTTTGGTAATCCTGACTTCAATGTAAAATGCCCAAACTAAAAAAACATATATCTCAACTCACCCAAAACTCTGCCAAATCTTCTAATTGTGATATATTTTCAATTTTTTTAATCCTATTTCCAGCAAGATCAAGGGTGGTTAACTTTGTCTGTAGATAAATTAAATAAACATACAACAGAATACTGGCAAGAAACATGAAAGAAGAACTAAATTTTAAGATAATCACATATTGGATTATATATGTTGCAAGGTGAAACGTTATACTGATACAGTAACACATGCTCTGTAAAAAATCCCAGGCTATTATAACATGTACACACTTTTTAGAAAAAATATTTTCTTTGTAGTTCAGGAGGTGTGTAAAAAGTGTTAGGTTGGGCTATATTAAATAGAAGATAAACATTTCCCAAAATCCATTGATGTTAGAAACTTAAACATCTGTAATTCCTAAATATACATTTCAATGACTTGCCATAATTTTTTGTGAGGATACACTACATTAAAACTTGATTCTGTTACAGTTTCATACATAAAAAATTAGACTTTAAGATGCTGATTCTTCACAACAGCATGTAGAAAGTAGTGCAATATGCCTTCTATTATAACGTCAGATCATATCTTTTGGTGCATAATATTTATCAATCTTCAACAACAGCTAAAAAATTAAGTATACAACTGAAAAAATATTATCTTTATGATCTTCACCATTAAAAAGTATCCTGCAGCAGAATTTATTTACTTTGCTCTTTGATGTAGATCTAGAAACGGTAAAGCTATCTAAATAATTTTTAGCACATAAATGTATCTAATTTTTTAAACATAAAAGCATAATTTAATCTTTTTTTTTAAAAATGAGTATGTTATTGTTAATGTTTTAATGATTTACAAGATTTTAAAAAATCATTTTAAAATAGATAAATGCAAACATAATATTGCATACCCCCTGAATACCATCCAAAAAGCTAATTTTGACATCAAAAAAACTCTCCTTGTACTAAAATAATAAAATTGATTTTAATTTAACATGACTTGGATAATGCAGAGGTGTAGCAATGGGGGCGGGGGTGTTGTACAGATGGGGGCTAGACTAGTTAGAGGCGCCAAAATGTGCTTCAATATTATTTTATTGATGAAAATAATGGGTTTGAGAGTTGAAAAAAAGAAAGGGAGGCTTTTTAAAAAGAATCTTGTCCCCGAGCGCCAACACTCTAGCTACACCTCTGGCATAATCAGCATGATGTAAGAAAAATAAATTAGCTGGCTAATAATAAATTATTAAATTCTTACACAAGCATCAAGTCCTTCAATCTTTTCCACTCCATTGTGACTTAAATATAGCTCATCTAATTCATTCAGGTTCTCTAGACCTTCTATCTTCAAAAGCCTGTTACTCTTTAAAAAAAAAAGTAATTCAACATACATATATGATTTAAATTATAAAAACCACTATGGTTAAGATATAAAAAAGTATTTGCTAATGACTATGTAAAACTCATGCAATAAATTATTAAGATTCAAAAAGTGGGAATTAGCTGCCAGTTGACATTTTGTCTGTGTTATACCAAGAACGCCAATCTAATGGTGAACTGTTGTAGGCCAAATCATTAGAAATAATAAATATGAGCAGATACTATTGTAACTTTTGAATCTGTGCCTTTGAAAAAATTGGTATAGACAGATCAATGTTTAAATTATTATTATTGTTAAAATCCTAAATAAAAGTTAGTACAAATCATTTATAAATGGACATTTTATTTACTGCTATTATAACTTTTTCTTCTTCTATTCTTACCTGGACACTAAGACATGACAAGCGGGTGAGTGTACCTAAGCCTTCTAGCTTAGTTATTTTGTTTTTACCCAGGTAAAGACTGTGCAGATTCACTAGCTTATCTATGCCCTCTATAACCTTAAAAAAAATATTAAAAATTCACATATTTAATAGTTTCCAATCTGTAATAACAAAATATAGTCTTAAAGGGCAAAAAGTTAAAAGTTTGTTCGAAATTAATATTTTTCATTTTAATTTTTAGATTAATTAAAAATGATGGTAGAATTATGAGTAGATTATTTTAGAAAAATGAACTTTCAGCTCACTAAACACTTTTTAAAATTGTATTACTATTTTATTTATTATGTATATAAAACAAGCAAGATGTTAATTAAATTAGAAAGTCTGAAAATTGGATTCTTTGGGGTTATGAAATTCTCAAGGATTGTACTGTAACAATTTTATTTTAGTCACTAATCTGTTAAATTTAATAACAGAAGAGCTCAGAGGCGTTAACATCAACAAAATCTACAAGTTCACATCAAATTTGTTGCAGACCATATACCATAATAGTGTTGTAGACACGATTTAAAATTGCCACTTACCCTAATTCTGTTATCGCCAAGTTCTAACATTTCAAGATGTACCAAGTGATTCAAATTTTCTATCTTACTGATTTTGTTGTTGACAAGAAACAGTTTTCGTAAGTTGGTCAATGTTTGTAGGCCTTCAATCCTTCGCAGGCGGTTGTAAGATAAATCTAGATGTCTGCATGGGAAAGGTGATACAACAATATAAATAAGTAATTCCTTTTAGTTTAACTGTAGTACTAAGTTGTAAGTTCACAAACATTTGTTGATAAATATTTCAACAGAATATAAATAAATATGTAAAGTTACCGGACTCAATACAATTTTAACTTTTCCTTCACTTTTAAGTTAACATATGGATTTTAGTGCTCTCAAGTATTTGGAACTTTGAGAGTAATATGGTTAACCAAGCAACTTGTATAGACCAACATGAATACATGAGGCTTTGCCTGCACCATTTTGCAAAATGAAGTATATTCAACAATTTATGTCTGTTCATAAGCTAGACCCCCCCCCCACCCCCTCCCCTTTAGGAATAGTAAGTCTAAAAAATGTATAGCCTGGTCATAAGCCAACCCCATAAAAAAAAAAAAGATGTCAGTGAAACCAATACAGTACCAACAGAATGCATGAGACAAAATGAAGTATATTCAAAAATTTAGGTCTGTTCATAACCTAGACCCCCCCCCCACCCCCTCCCCTTTAGGAATAGTAAGTCTAAAAAATGTATAGCCTGGTCATAAGCCAACCCCATAAAAAAAAAAAAAGATGTCAGTGAAACCAATACAGTACCAACAGAATGCATGAGATGAGACGAGATATGAAGGCCATACTTTTGTGAGTTGTTACTGACTTTTAATATCTACTTATCATTACTGTGGGCAAATAATGGCACCATCGAATTCCTATATCTTTGTTTTTTATAATATTTAAAGCTGCTGATGAAGTATTCAAATATTGTTTGGTAGACTTCAACCTCAGTTATCTATAATTAGAAATTGATTATCCAATGTACCTAGAGAAAATTATAAAAATCTCCTGGGACCCACTCATAAGCCAACAATCCCACTTATTCCCCTTAAATATTTTTCCAGAAAAAAAAATCGGCCTTTAGAACAAGTTTATATGGTAAGTTTTTTTCTTTTTAAATTCACTTTAAAGTTGGGGTAGGTAAATGAACTGAAAGTTATAATCATTGGTTATTGGAGTTCTAAGTTATCTATAGCTTAAATGCTTTTTTAGAAGATTAAAAATGCAATTCAGCTAAAATTAATAATTTTAAAATATATTTATTTCCCAAATATTTATGGAAAATTAAATAGATATTTTAAATGGGCAGTTATCAGCACTAGAATGGCATGAGATTTTTAGAACTGAATTTTTCTTACTCTAAGTTTACCAGAGCTTCTAAATTGATAATCTCTGAAATTTGATTGTCATACAAGTCAAGTTCTCTCAGATGGATAAGTGTACTCAGACCTTCTATCTGTTTTACCAAGTTCTGCCGCAAACACAGGGTCTAAAGAAAAATATAGAAAAAATATTACATACAAATATATATATTCTATTGTAATCCCACATCCCACTAAGATTCAGTAATTAAAGTCTTTTGTAGAGTTTTAAATTAACTTTTGAAAAGTTATTACGGGGAAAATCCTCATTCTACATGAGAACATTTGTTCACTGATAACTATGATTTATTAAAGAATTGTTTTTAAATGCTTACCTCAACACATGTTGTTTGTTCTAAGTTTTTTATCTTTGCTATCCTACAATGATTAAGATCTATGTCCTGCAAATGGATTGAAATAAAAAATGTAAGTTATAACAAAAAAGAATTTAAAAATAAATTTTAATGTATACAGTGGTAACTCGAGATACGAATTTTATTCGTTCCGTAACCTGGCTCATAAGTCAATTTGCTCGTATCTCAAAGCAATTTTCTTCATTGAAATTAATTGAAATACCAGTAATCCGTTCCAGCCCCCGGAAGATGCTGGCGGAGGTTTAGGGTGGAGGAGATAGGTGAAGGAGCTTCACTTCGTTCACTTACTCGCTACACTGTTAATGCTGAACTCTTTCGGCCGCTTCATTTCACTTACTCGTTACACTCTTAATGCTGCAATTTATCCCTAAACTTATTGGAACTTAACTAAACTTCACTGAACTTAATTGTACAATTTTTTGTTACTTTCGCTTAATTTATGTCACTGCTTTTCTCTTCACTGGTCATTGCCTTTTCACCATGCTTTCCTCACTTTCACCTACAGCCTACAGGCAGTTAAAAAAAAAAAAAACTGTCCTGGTGTGTCGTGTGCAGTCGGCCAATCCGCTGACCCAGTTGCTAGTATCTCAAAAGTTTTTGTATTTCAAAGCAAAACATCGCTAGCTGACGGCTCGTATATCAAACATCTCGTAAGTTAGGGCACTCGTGTGTCGAGGTACCACTGTATATATAAATTAAGACACTATTGGTAATACTAGAATGTTCTAAATCAGTGTTTCTCATAGTATGATACACATATCGACCACAGGGTTTAACAAAAGAATTATGATATGTCACCATTTCTAAAAGAGTATATGCATATTCAGCCAAACCTTTTTACTACTTTGGTAATGTTTGACTAGGTGTTTTGTTTACACCGGAAATTCATAGTTTGAAAAAATGCTCTAGCTCAAAAATGTTTGGGGAAACAACAGGGTACGAAATATAAGAAGAGCAAAACTTCATTTATATAAATATTAAGCTTAAAAAAGACAGTGTTACAAAATCTCACTATAGCATTAGGATCCTCAATTATTAGTTCATTAAAGATCTCATCTGATTCTTCCTCTGCCTCTGAAGTCTCTGGGCTGAGAAATGAGCTTTGTACAACACTTGGTTGAAGAGATGATGACATAATTCCTGTTTTAAATTTAAATAGTTATCCAAAATTAATTCAGGAAAAAAAATCATATAACTGTATTCAGAATTGACATACCATAACTTAGGTTGTTTTTTTTTTGTCAAGCCTTATCTAAATAACTATGCCTTAAAGCTGTAACTTCAATTTGAAAATTTTGTCCAAGAATTATTACTCAACATTTTAATTTTTATACACTGTCATTTGTAGGTACTTCTGTAAAAATATACAAAATTTTTTAAAATATTACAGTTGTATAGAGCGAATTTCAAAATGTAAAAAAGGAAACTAGAAACAATTTTCTGGCTTTAGTACTTTTGAGCTATGAACTTTTAATTGTGAGTGCATTTGTAATTTTTTGACATTTTTACCATAGACTGCACCTCCACATTTTGTGACCCAATTCTGCTGATTGTATCACACGCAATAGCTCTTGTTTTAATATGATAATTCTATACAACTTCTCTGATTATTAAAATTTCTAATTTTTAAATTAATTTTAACACTATTATGCAATTATAAATAAATTGTAACTTATATAAAATCCATCATCAGTAAATTTAATAACTTTGATGTGGATTTTCTGTTTACCAAGTCTAGCCGACATTATATACATTTATAAATAATATAATACTGGTTTGGGAGTACTTATCTTGAACTTTCAACTTTTGCACATGACTAATTAATTAAAGCTTTCCCTGACCAATGATTTAAAAGGTCTTTAACATAACAATCTCCTTTGAATGAAATTATGATAATGATACTATAGTAGTATAGCTATTATAAGTGACTGAATGGTTGCCCATGACAATGCTTTGCACACTGCAAATTATGATCAATTTTAATGGACTCAAATATTCTTGTTTAAATGCCTTCTAGTCTAAGTTCACTCTACAACATAAGTTATCCAAATATTTTGATGTAACTGGTGTTAATAATAGAATATTTCTTAAGTATCAGCATCTTCTTCCATTAAAAAAGGGTTTTGGTCACATCCAAGCGAAGTTGGGTAGAGCAACCTACATAGTAAACTGCTCAAGCATGGAAACATGGCATCTCTCATAAAACACATAGCGTTATGAAAATAGGCACACTGGTAAATCAATGTATATCCCAGAGACATAATTTGAAAAGGGCATATATTCAATTTTGACTAAATCTTAATGATTAAAATTGCCTTACATTCACAAAAGATTTTTTCGAAGTTGATGTATTGTAAATAAAAAAGAAATCAATTAAAATGTAGGCCAAGATGTCCTCTTAAGCGAATGGCCAGAAAAGGAACAAAATTGTGGGATATGGAATATAGTAATTCTTTTATGAATAAAATGGCACCAACATCATAAAATAAAAACCTCAGATTTTCGGGCGCCAATGTTATTTCCGTGTTTATGTAAAGTTTCTGTGCTGGATTCACGCAAACTTTGTGTTGTTTTTAACTTTAGTTGCCCTTCTTTTTAGTTGAGGGAAACGAGCATGTACCCACTAAAATTACCCCAGAAAAGGGAGTGATCGCAGGTCTTTGACGCTTCTTGCCAAAAATATCTAGATGGATACAACAAAGTAGCCACGCTCGCCACGAAATTTTTGTACCAGCTGAAATTATACGAGTAAAGGGGACGACCACATGTCGTTGACACTTCTTGCCAAATATTTAGTTGGATACAATAAAGTAGCTTCGTTTGCCCCTAAATTTATATACCGGCTGAAAATTATTTCATTAGATATTAACATTTTGCTCTTATTTTAATATCTTTGCCAAACCAGCTAATTCTCTCCTTTCCCCTCCCCACTTTAGCAGACGTGTTACTTTTTTTTTAACCCCACCAGCCATTGATTGATTAAATACTTATATAGTGCTTGTATCTATGCTATTTTAGCATGCTCACAGAGCTCTGATGTTATTAAATCTATTTAAAGAAAAATTTCTTTAAATGTTTCTTAATTGATTTTTTTTATCGTTTTCAATTTCCCTCAAAAATTGAGGCAAACTGTTCCATAACTTTTGCGCGATAAATTCAAAAGAGCGCACTCTGTATGACTTCTTTCTGTGTCCATCCACTCTGGGAACTCTCGGTAAGGACACTGTGTTGAAGAGTCCAGGTTCTTTAAGTATATGTGTTTAGAAATCAGTTCTTTAAGATATTCAGGTGCAGAGCCTTCCTTACAGCTAACGCCATGGACAGAATTTTGTGGTCAATGCGCTCATTCATAGGAGATCTTTAAGAACTGTGGTGATGTGGTCAGATCTCTGTATCAGCAATACAATGCCTGCTGCAGCATTTTGTAACTTCTGGAGTCTCTGAAATTGGTTTTGCGATAAACCCCACTCTTGATTGGATTAGAGTGACTGCCACAGCACTGGCTGTTCTCTTATTAAGTTGAGGACACAGCTGCCCAAGGTGCGTAGATGACAGAAACAAGCCCTGACCACAGAGCTGATATAGGGATTCATTGTAAGTTTCCTGTCAGTATAGAAGCCAAGGTCTCTGACAGTGTTGGACAAGAGGATCTTAGAAGTACAACTTTTATTGATGTGACTGTCACGGGTCGTGGCAACCTAGATGGCGACTTTGTAAAATGTCATGACGCATAAAGTCCATGTTTACCCAAATTTTTAGAAGTCTCCCTTGCTTCACCTAAGTACCTACTCATTTGAAAGAGTATGTCATACATTACCAACAGAGTATCATACATTACTGTACTGATTAAGACTTAGGTAACGGTAAATGTGAAGAAATAGAATCTCGTTTTTTTACCTTGGTTGCTGCGACCCACGAACATATGTCCTAAATTTATCCCTAAACCTAACCTGAACCCTAAATCTTTCCTAAACCCAACCTGAACCCTAAACTTATCCCTAACCTTGTTTTTGACCCTATCGGACCAGGGTTTTGACCCTATACTGTGGGTACTTTGATGAAGCAAGTGAAACTACTAAAAAATTTGTATGGGAGTCGGCGTGCGAAAATCTGAGTTTTTAATTTTTTGATGTTGGAACTATTTCATTCATAAAATAATTACTATATCCCAGAATTGTGTTCCTATTCCAGCCTTTTGCTTTAGAGGACATCTTGGCCTACATTTTAATCAATTTCTTTTAAATTTACAATCAGTCAGCTTTGAGAAGATCATTGCTGAATATAAGACAACTTCCACCATTAAAATTAAGTTGAATTAAAAGATATGTCACTACCAAATTTTTTATAGATCTGAGGCATGTACTGATCTACCTGTATGCCAATTTTCACAGTGATATGTGTTTAACGAGAGACGCCATGTTTCTACGGGTTCGCAGCAAGTCATGCAGTTCGCTCAGCCTAATTTCGACATGGTGTGGGCCACGTCTCTTTTTTAATGGCGGAAGTTGCCAATACTTAGGAAATATTAAATTATTACCACTATTTACATCAAAATATTTGATAACTTGTGTTGCAGAATGCATTTTGAAGACATTTAAACTGAAATGTTTTAATTTGAGCTTTAAAAACCAGGTAGAGTCCATATTATCAATGATCAGAATTTACGGTGTGCCACACGTTGTCATTGGCAACCATTCACAGCCACTTGCATAATGGCTGTATTGTACTACCTCAGAGTTTCATTCATAAGAGTTTGCCGTGTGCAAAAGCTATTAAACCATTGGTCAGGGAAAGCTTTAATTAATTATTCATGTGCCAAAGTTGAAAGTTTAAAATAAGTCGACCCTAAACAGTATTTAAGTGATAAGGGAATGCGTTGCCTTATAAACTATATAGTCATTGCGCATGATGCGATCAGCGGAATGAGGTCACAGAATGTAGAGATGCAGTCCATGTTGTCATTAAAAAAGGACAATGACAAACCAAGTCGTACTTTAAAAATTCATAACTTTAAAACTACAACAGCTAAAAATATGATTTTGGTGTTATAATTCTGTAAAAAATGTGCTCTATTTAACTATGCCATTGGTTTATTTTTACAAAATGTTTACATTTTTGACCAAAGTATCTAGGCTATATAATATATAAATTTAATCTATTTGAGTCTATTGAATGGTGCATTAACAATTCAATAGAACAAGACAATGTGTGAACTGCGTTAGTAAAGGTTTATAAATTATAGTCTGTGCATTTGTAAACTGATCTCGGTCAGCTTTCACTTTCAGAACTAAGTGAAGCCGATTACCTTATTTTGAATCAATAACTCTTGTAATTCCCTTTGTTTATTTCCTGGGTCTCCACCGGTCCTTCCACCATTAAATTGACAAACCGGAAGTGACGCCAATAAGCGTAAAAAGAAATTACTGAGTAGATTTCTTATTTTTTATTCGTTTTATAGTATAGTTTTAAGTATAAATATACTTTCAATTGTTTAAAATTATTGAGAACTATTATTGCTGAAATTTAGCAATGATTTGCATAATATTTTGGCTTACCAAAAATTTAAGGGCTAAAGCAGGTATATATGGTCAGTCACGTACCTAAACGTGAGGGGGGAATGGGGAACCCCTGAGAGGCGCCATGGTTTAAAAAAAAAAAAATAGGGTTTTTTTAAAACCAAAATGATACCCTTATGTAGGGGGTGCTATTCAGGACTTTTGCCCTGGGTGGCACACGAAAAAATACAAATTCTTCCACTAACAGAATAAGACAAAACAAAAGCAGGGGGAAAGGCCTAAATGAACCAAGCCTGAAATGATGTGACGCCCTTTCAAGAAAATTCCTTTCCACCTTCTTTATTTTATTTCAAGCTTTCTCATATCTGAACAAAACCCCATTAAGTTCTTATACAGTGATTAAAATGGTTGTTATGTTAGTTTGTCCGCCAAAATCAGTCAAGACCATTTCATCGGATTCGTGTTTGCACTTTTTCTGTCTCAGATGGCTGATAAGAACAATTCTGGCACGAGATGTTCTTGTGCAAAGGATGATGGGATATCACCAGGAGCAGAGTGAATCCAAGCTTTTCTGGCTTGTCTCGTGTGCTCAGTGAGCAGTTGTTCTGTTGGCTTCCTGTTGTAAGGAGCATTTTTTGTGACCACCAGCAAACCACCTTCCATGCTCGAACTTGATATAAAATATCATTATTGTAGGCAAACTGTCTTCTGACATTCTCACAACATGTTCCGTCCAGCAAAGATGTGGCTGCAATAAGATAGTATAGATACTGGTGAGACCTGCTTGTTCGAGCACATCAGTGTATCGGACCTTGCCCTGCCATTTGATTTTAAAGATTTTCTGAGGCTTGTTGAGTGAAATTGGTTCAGCTTTCTTACATGGCGTTGATAGATCCTCCACGTATCAGATGCGTAGATAAGCGTAGGCTTATAGATGGGGGACGTCATTTGGGTAGGGCATTTGCCACCCCCACCCCCTTATCTGATTTTGCAGTTTTAAATTTAATTTGCTATGCACTGTGGCGCCTCCAGTAATAAACAACTCAGCAAGCAAGCCATTTTTTTATGTTTCCTCCCCACCCCCCTTACTAAAACCTGAAATGACGTTCCTGCTTTTAGATGTTCATTTTAGCTTGAGCGCTAATACCTATACTTGTCCATACATTCTCAGATATTTTGTCATAGGTTGCCCTGGCTCTTGTGATACGAAGTTTAACTTCATCATCGATTATTACGCTTTGGGACAGTGTGCTGCAAAGTGAGTAGAAAACGCTTACCACTTTAAGCCCTCGCCATATGATATACTAGTCAAGTAAAGGCTTCAGTAACTACAACTTATATTAATGCATTTTCTGTAGTGCTGTTGCTAGAGCTTCTGGCGTCAAGTTTGTCCTTGTCGTTACTTCTCATCGCTCACAAAAACTACAAAATATACAGAATAGGATCCATCTATAAATGACGTGGGATTATTTTACCCCCCCCCTTTTTAACCTTTTTAACTAAAAAAGTTGTTACAAATTTGTCACAAAATGTATACCCCCCCCCCACCCCATAATACACCGTCAAAAATCTGTGACCCCCCACACACACACTTTCCCTTCGACGTTTGAATTCATTTATGAATGACCCCTATGCACATCCTTATAAAACATAAGCCAACAAATTTGTCACAAAATGTATACCCCCCCCCCACCCCATAATACACCCTCAAAAATCTGTGACCCCCCACACACACACTTTCCCTTCGACGTTTGAATTCATTTATGAATGACCCCTATGCACATCCTTATAAAACATAAGCCACATAATACATTTTAAATGAAGGGGATAAAAACGCTCCCTCCCAGGGCCAAAAAAGGTCATCCAGGGCTAAAAGCACACGCCATCACATTCTTCATAGACTAATGATTATGAGTGCGCTACATTGCTCTCGTTGCTCTGTGAACTGAAAAACAACAAAAAATCCACGTAGCCTTATTTCAACCAAATTTAAAAGGAAAATTGAAGATTGTCGATTACTGTAGCCTAAATAATATACCGTACAATAAGGCAGCTTACGTGCATAAGGGTAAAAATTACCCGATTCATTAACGATTATTTCCGTTGGTGTGTTCGGTCATTCGAAAAAATTGTTTATCCGAATCAACCCCAGTCCAATTACTTCGGAAAATCGATGCTCTATTATAAATATTTCATCGTTACCAAGTTATTGTGCAACTGTGTTAGCAGTTCTTAATTATTTAATTCTTCTTCACATATGTTTGTATGTTCACTTTTTATTTAAGATTAGATTAAAATATAACAGATACTCTAATATTAGTATAATTTTTTAGATGAATTCAGCTCTTAACTTTCATATTTATTATTTTTTTAAATCGCAAATATTTATACGAACGATGCCATTAAGAATAAGGCAGTCCATTAAGTATGACACGCACAGCACGGGGCGGAAGGTTCTAAAAGAAGTTGACAGTTTGTGACACGGGATTGGGGTTTAAGCTCATGTGTGGCTTGAAACATTTTGTATTTTTATCATACATATAAAACCTGAAATTGTCAGTGATGTTAAACTTTCTGTTGTGATAAATGTATTCTGACAGAAGATTTTGAATTTATTTATAAATTAAATAGTTTAATAGCGGGCGTGTTTTAGATTAAATTTTAAATAGTTGTTATTTTTGTAAATTCGAAAGGATGACGTACTTTAGGGGAATTGGGGGGGGGGGGGGGTTCCGGGACATTTGGGGGGGGGGGGGGGGGGGGGGTTTCCTGAGACATTGTGACAGGGGTGGGAGGGGATAAAAACTGTCCAAAAATAGCGTGACGTACTTTATGGACGGATCCTTTAAATTAAATTATATTATTATTTTTTAAAACCTATTGAAATATTTACCACACTTTCCTTTATTTTTGAAGGGTTAATATTAACAATTATAATTCCCTAATTAATTATTAATTTATCTTTATCTAACGATACACAAAAGAAAATAAAGGGGGTGAATTCATTACATATTCATCGCCCCTTACAATGTGGCTTTGCAGAAGTAATCTAATATTTTACTGGAACTCTGACCGTCCGTTTAGATGTCAGTGTAAAAAATTATGTTGGTTTTTTAAATATAAAAACCCATCAGAAAAAAAAAAACACTTTTGCAAATGTTTGTTAGTTTGCAAAATGCTAGTGGTAATAGTAATTAAATGGGAAAGAAAGTTAGTAGGCAGTGTTTATTCAAGTATCATCCTTTGTCTCGAATCGAATAATTTTTTTATAAAGACACACAAAATATATATTTTTTAAAGTTTTAGGTTAGGATATTTTTTTATATTGGAGACTGTTTAGTAACCGCCATTAGTAGTCCCCAATTCACGTGTCATTTAAAATAATTTACAATTGAAGTAATGAAATAAAATTAATAGATGATTGTAGGCTAATCAATACTGTCTTTTGAAATTTGGTGCAATGAGTTTTAATTTTTATCTTTAACTCATTGACGTTGTTTGCTGTACTTTTGGCTTTTAGATTAGAAGCTCAGCATATAACTTAATATAACCTTGCTCATACGATGTTTCAGTTGAAGGGTCAATTTTTCTCGGTTCTGTTGCATTCTAATTTAATATTTACAATCATATTTCATAAGATTTACTTAATATTGCAATTATGAGCAAAAATTAACTAATTAATTAATGAAAAATGATAAATTCTTGAATGCAGTTACGATTTATATAAAATTTACTCATCTCGGATAATTCTCAGCTTAATGATGGATTGCGTTGAAAAGTAAATTTAGTAATCCACGCTGATTTGTAAACAGAATTTATATCATAATAATATCATATGCGTATGCTGGTACAGTGCTAATATGAAATAAGATTTTAACAATCAGGATCAACAGGATAGGGCAAATGAAGCATTCATGCTGTTAACCTGAATAATATTAAATCTTTAGACCTACATATTGAATGATATTGTAAGTATTCGTTAAGATTTAAGCAGATAGGCCTACTAATAATTACTTAGAAGTTTAGAAGTTAGTACTTGGACTTGGGCTTGGCTTGGGCTTCGGCCTCGGCACTTTCACTTCTCACTACTTTAACTTCATCTACTTAGTACTTAGTTACTACTTAGTCGACTTAGACTAGATTCTAGAGGGTTAGCCTAAATTTTAGTAAATAAAAAATATCCATCAATCAGGTCAATGCGCACGATAATAAATTCAGTAGGTATTTGGACAAAATTTTTACAATAATACTTAATTCATAATACAATACAATAAAAATATGAAGAATGAAGCTAAATAATTAATATTTTTAAGTAAGCCTATCATATTTTTATTTACTATGGTAGTACTATGTCTATTACTAATACTATACTATTTATTTTATGGTATCTTGCAGTTCAGGCGCGCATATAATTTCTGATAAAATTTCGTATTATCGCGTGTAAACTTACGTGTATTGTTCATTAAATTAAATCTAGGCAGTGGTAGGTAACTAATAGTATTACTGAATTATACAGCGCTTATTTTCGTTTTATTTTATTTATAAAGTAAAGCATCTTTGAACATCCCCCAACCTTCCATAGCTCCAATTGTTTTGTATTTTTTAATGACCAGCACTACGTACACCGCGGCGGTGTATCTAGCGAAACTATTGACCTTGGCCTGCGTACACCGTGGTGGTGTACCTAGCTAAATCATTGTCTGTGGCCTGCGTACACCACAGTGATTTAAAGTAGCAAAACCATGGTCTTTGCAAGTCTTAAACTTTTTGGCCTAATTGGTACTGTATATTTAATGTTATACTCTTGTTAAAACTGGAAACTATTTATTTAAAATCGTTGAGTGACTTGGGAGGAAGCTTTTGAGTAAGATCCACGCTTATAACTTATGTGGCAAAGTACTTGTAGAGCATTTCTTATTATTTATTGGAAGGGAGAGGGCTGGGGGTGTAATGTTAAACCATGATTTATTTTAAAGTTAACCACTTTATTTCCCCCAATATATTTCCCCCAATATATTGAAATACAATGATATTTATTAATTGTTAAAGTTTTATCCTATGATTGTGAATCTTAATAGTCATAAAAAGGTTAGCTAATTTGAAATTATTCTCCCCCCCCCCCCAATTGGTGGGGTTTTTTTTTGGGGGGGGGGGCATGATAATTATAACATTGTATGTGATCCCTTGGGGCGTGGTGTAAAAATGAATGGGAAGCCAGTGTATACAAAGATATAATTACGCCACAAATACATTACGGGAAGAAAATCACATACATTGATCATGAAGTCGTGAAGTTAAAGTTGTCCGAGGCATTGTCATTGTGATATCAAGCGATTGTCAACACACAACAACAGTATGATGATCAATACGAAACACTGCAGTGATTGTTAAAAGTCTTTTAACAATGATTAAATATCATCGAATTAGTTTTACATTGGCATTACACATAAGTAAAAAATGCCGGCTGACATCAGCACCCCCTCTCCAGGTTGGAGGGCATGCAAAAGGTAAGTTTTTTGTGCGGACGTCCTTTGTGGACAACCCCTATCCAGAGCCATGATTTATGTAGGCCCCCCATTTTCGTTGAACCTCTGCCCATAAACCACCCCCCCCCCCTCCCCGGGGGGAAGGATTGATTTCTTAGCAAAAAACAATAAATAAAAAAACTTTGAAATAGCACAAATCCTGTCCCAAGCGCATTGTGCAATGGTTTCTGTGAGAAAACGTTGTGTTTTACCTGAGAATAGCACATCCCATGCCATTCTGGAAACACGACCGTGCACATTAATATTCATATGATATTATTGATAAAATGGTATTTTCTTTGGGTGTTCGTAAAGTAAAATGTAAATGTTCAACTACAAGAAGAATGTTGAAATACAATACAATATCACTTAGTATTCAAAATGTTTCTCTTATACATGTTACATACACTATACATGCGCTTTCAGAAACTTTCAGTTTGTTTTCTAATGTCATACTCTTATTACTAATATTACCGGTATTTTCAAAGTCAAAGGCTGGCACAACTTGTTGAAACACTTAATAATCAGTTAATAATCTGAATATAACATATATTTAATTTAAATTGTTTAAATTGCTATAAAATATTTAAAAACTTCTCAGGAAACTACTGTTGCAAATGAACATGATAATTTAAATATAAAATATTTTTAATTTAAATGGGAAGAAAGAAAACTCGATCCCCTACTGGGAATTGAGCTCAAAATATAATATCACCAAGCGTCCACTCTATCACTTGACCACACAAGATCTTATCTAATAGGCTTTTCTAAAAACCAGGCCAATGGTAAATTTTTGCCGCGGTGTACCCAGGCCAAAGACCACGATTTCGCTAGGTACACTGCCGCGGTTTACGCAGGCCAAAGTCGATGGTTTTGCTAGGTACACCGCTGCGGTGTACGCATCCACTTCGTAATATAAAGGTAAAGAGAGTGATAATACAAGGGTAAGAGACTGCATTCAGGTTTAGATAGAAGATAATAATAATATGTGAAACAAGTTTACAAGGTATAGTAAAACCTGAAAAAGGGATTCAACAAACAATGTGTAACACATCTTTTTGGCACATGAAGGGGGAGGAAAAGTAAGTGCACAGTAATTGGTTGTAAAAAGGACGGGTTGGACTAGTTGGAGAAAAGGTTTAACAAGTGAAGCAGACCATGACAGTCATGCATGTCCAGTATCAAACACCTTACCCACAACAAAAGGTGCCAAAGCATATATCATACGTATTTTAAGAACAAATGAATCACCTATGTCATGATGTATTTAGAGTCATTTGTTTAAAATTCCTTTTTTAAAATTATTTTTTTCCTCAAAATCATGCGCCTCATGCAAATGTCACACTGGAAACTCACACTCTGTAGCAATGTAATTTGCAGCTAAGCATTGAAAAAGCATAGTGGAATGTGTAGAGCACAAGAGCCTGGCAAAGAAAATATTGTCTGGGAATTATAATGATAGGCTTACACAGGAATTTATTTAGCATACTATTTTCAAAGAAAGTTTTAGAAAAACTGATGACTTAAAATATCTGAAATACCAGATGAAAAACAGTGAGCAGATAATTTTTCCTTTGGGCCATTACGATCTAAGGAGCAGAATAGTTCAGCTCCCCCACCCCCCTTCCTTTTTTTTTCTTCCCTCCTTAAATTGCTAACAACTTCATCACTAATATTATATTACAGGTGCCAGTCGAGGTATTGGGCTTCAATTTTGCAGAGCTCTTCTTCAGGGAAGCAACACTCATGTTATTGCTACGTGCCGAAATCCTTTGGAAGCGAATGACCTGACAGAGCTCAGAAACAATAATCCAAATAATCTAACTGTTCTAGATATAGATGTTACTCAAGAAAGGACCATTAAAAACTCTGCATCACATGTTGAACAAAAGTAGGTATGTTAATAACTTCTAAAATATAGATCTATTTTAATGTGTGTATTATATTGGTGGTGCCACATTTTCAGTTTTGAAACAATTTATTCTACTTAACTAATAGTAATAGATTTTAAAAAAGTTTTATGAGAAAAATAAAACTCCTTTGATACACATTTTTTGGAGGTTAAAGCAGTAATAATTTAACCAATAATTCAGGAAACATTTTAGATCTGTTTTACTTTTAACTTTCAACAGAAAATCTTATCCATGATCAAATAAAGCCGAAATATGATTAAAATACTGCCCACAAATTAAAGCACTGCAATCAGAAATGCTATTATAAATTTGTTAAACACCAAGGAGTTTAACAAAATTACAGTTTACTAGATTCAAAAATGTCTATTCTGGTTTGTTTTTACTGGTAATCTCATGATCATATGGTATATCGTAGTTTAATCTTTAATCTTAGAACTTGCAAAAGTCCTTCAAGTGTCAAAATGTTAAGCAAATATGGCTTTAGTAACTGCTGATGTAATAAAAGACAGATTTAAAAAAAAACAACTAAAAACAAGGTGCATATCCTTCATATAATTGTCTCTTGAGATTTTCTTCTTATGATCAAAAATATCTTGAAAACCATAAGCCCTGAACCTTGTAAAAGAAAAATAATGTCACTTGCAATAAAGATTTAGAACAATTAGGGGTAATGGTGTGAGAGGGTATGCAGATAAGTGGGTGGGAAAGGGGATAAGTGCAATATGGGACAACAGGGTTTGAAATGGAGATGGTAGGGGATGAGGGGATAATTTGTGGGTTAGTGGAAATGGGTCCGTCAATAGGCGAAGATGTGGTGGGAGAGTTAAGAGGAGAGATGGTAAAGAAGGCATGTAATAGTGAGAAATCAGTGAGGACAAGAGTAGTGGAGGAGATAAAGTGGGAGATGGGGTTACGATGTAGATTGGGAAATGATTTGGCAGATAGTAGGGATTAATGGATGAGAAAGTAAGATAAGAGTAAGATAAGAGAAAGTGTGTAGATTCTTTATGGTAGGTGGGGTTTGTGGCGAAAGCTTTGGGGTTTAAGAAAGAGAGTAATAGTGAGGGAGAGAAATGAGGGTTGAGATGGATAGGTGGATAAACAAAGAAAAAGAACAGGAAGGTTTGAGGTAAAGATGGTGGGGAATATCCCCAAGTACTCAATGTACAATTTTTCATCACTTTTTTTTTGACAGTTGAAATTGATACAAACATTAAAATATTGCAGCATTGATTATTTAATTACTGGTTGAAAGCTGTTTATGTTTTATTGTTAGTCAATTCTATATATGTCATGGTTTACAGTAAAAAAAAAAAATATATATACATTAACCTAGATTTGTATGATATTATATGAGCCATAACATTTAATTTTATTTCAGTTATGGGAAACTTGATCTTCTCATCAACTGTGCTGGGATTTTGCATCCATCAAAACTTGGAGAAACTAGTCTTAAAGTTATCACAAGTGAGGTATTACACAGTTTGAGCTCATTTTCATAGCTTTCATCTCGGGTCAGGTACATTTTATTGAAAGAAAAATAATATGCACTAAACTAAAAATATTGTTTTGTAACTTAAAAATAAAATGATTGGGTGCCCATGGAGAATGTACATTAACTTTCATTAAGTAGTGAAGAGCAATGTTAAATATCTTTAGAAATGAAGCATTATGTCAGTTAACATATTGATTTGTTACCAATGAGGTACCTTGATAATTTTTTTCCAGGTGCCTAACAGAAGTAAGTATTCTTGTCCAATCATTGGAAGCATTTTTTTTTTAGCAACCCACAATTACTTTAGTTCTTTGTTAATGAAGATATTGAGATAGATTACAAATATTGTAAAAACATTTTATTTTAATATTGTGGTGGAAAAAATGAATGCCCTAAAGATGATAGTAACCATGGCAACAAACACTGATAAACTTCATTGTTTTTAGGGGCTGCAAGAAACTTACCTTGTCAATGCTATTGGTCCCCTCCTAATGGCTAAGCACTTTGCCTCTCTGCTAAATAAAGGACATGGCTTGATAGGCAAACAGAGTGAGGACAAGAAGAATCAGCATGTCTCAGTCTTGATAAACATGAGTGCTAAAGTGGCATCCATAACAGATAATGGTAAGTTGTACTGTCATCAAGAATGCCTGCAGTTTCTTATATAATAAAATGGACTTTAGCTTACAAAAGGGCTTAAACATTTTAATTAGCTACAGGTTTAGTTTGAGCAACCTGCCTGTTGTTTCAATACTTTGACCAGCACATTTTATTTACTTTTTGAATTATATGATTTGTTGGAAGCAAACTAGATGCTTTAATGAATAACAAGCACATTATTTATTAATATATGAACCAGATAAATAAGTGAATGGCAAGGATTATTTAAAGTCATAAGCTCAATAACATCAGTCTGAAAAATTATCAGTGTTCCATAATATTAATATATACATTGTAATTCAGTAAAACTATAAAATGTGGATTGTGGATGCAGGGTAAAATGAAGCCAAAAATATTTAACTATGTTCTTAAGCTTAAATTTAGGGTAACAAACATTTTCAAGGTTTTCGTACAACTTTATTTAGTCTAATAATGTTTTGCTTGATTAACTAGTTTTTGTGTGTGCATCCGTCATTGAAACCTAATTTTAAAAAAAATATATTTATTGCTTTAAAAAATAGGTGAATAAGATGAATAAGTGTTTATAAAAATATATAACTATCACAGATTCCCTGAAGTCTTCATTTAGCTCTGAGTGTAAATTAATCCTGTTTGAATAACAAGGTTCTTAAAAAATTTTCATTTTCTTTTTTGGGAAATATTAATTGATATTGAATTTCTTTTTTGCTTTCAGCTCTTGGTGGGTGGTACAGTTATAGAATGTCAAAAGCAGCATTGAATATGGCAACCAAAAACTTGAGTATAGAATTAGGTAGAGGTCAGAAAAAAACTGTATGCATTGCTCTTCATCCTGGTACTGTAGATACAGACTTATCTCGTCCATATCATAAAAATGTAACCAATTTGTTTACCGTTGAGAAATCTGTGGGATATATGATGAATGTGATAAACAGTTTGAGTTTAGAAGATTCAGGAAAATTTCTAACATATGATAGAACTGTTATGGCTTTCTGATTTGACATTAAGCATAGGGCAGTGCCTTCTTGATATTTCAATCTATTATTTTATACAAGTTGATGGCAATCTCCATTTTATCACCAAAGCAAACAGAATTGTACTTTTGACTGTGAATGATTTTTTTGTGTGTAATAGTCATTGGAACATATGATCTTGTAAAACTGCTTGTAATATTTGAAGTTAGATTCCAAAAAATCTATTAACTGAATATTGACCGGAATGGGGTTGAATATTTACATACCTATCAATGGGTAAATATGCCTGTAATTTTTTTTTTTCAGCAGATCATTAAATTGTAGCTCAGTTTCTAATGTTTAACATTGTTCAATCTTATACTCACAATGGTAGGCTATGTCTTTTTTTTTTTCAAATTTAAAAAAAAAATGTATATTTAACTACTGTAATTTTTTTTTTTCAGCAGATCATTAAATTGTAGCTCAGTTTCTAATGTTTAACATTGTTCAATCTTATACTCACAATGGTAGGCTATGTCTTTTTTTTTTTTCAAATTTAAAAAAAAAATGTATATTTAACTGTTAACTGTAACCAAAAGTAAACATATATACATTTTTTATAACTAAAACAGACTGGTAATTTAGTGCTATTTCAAATAAGTTATATTTTGAATTGATATAGTATTAGATAGTCTTGATGTATAATTTATGTATATACTTCATTTAATGTCATATACTTATGGGTTATATTTATTGATTTAATAAATACTCTTAAACCATGTATTGATTAAAATTGTTTGTTCCAAATAAAAAACAACTCTAATTGACTTGGTTGACTGCGTTTTTTATTTTTAGTACCATTTATCAATATTATTTTAAACTTAAGATGTTAACAGTATTTAGATTTTTAAAAAGCAAATAAAGTTAACAATAATGGGAAAAACACTATCTGTTTTTGGTCACCTAGAAATTGCTTCCCAGATAAATGTTTTATTGCTAATTATTTATATTTACAAAGACCATTCTGTCAAAAATATTAATATTCTTTGACAGTTATGGAGTAATGGACCTATGTTACAAATCTGGAAAGTAATATTAATGATTTCAAATGGTCCTTTAATTTTAATAATTTATTTTGCGTTTTTCAACTGCATTTAATTTTTATTTTAGTACAGTTTAAACATTTGACATGTTCCATCTAACTTCAAAAGATTTAAAAGGAAACAAATGGATAAATAGCGGTTTATTTGAAAACATCAATTAAACATCAAATGTTTAAAAAAATCAATAAAATTAACACATGACTGAGAAAATATTGTCCAGAGACTATTTCCAAGGAATTTCAATATTACCTGGATCAGCCACTTATGTATCAACATGTTAAAAACATTTACATACCTAAATATACTCTGCGCGTTTTCTCCACTTGAAGGCATTTTTACATAGCATAATCTCATTGCACAACAGTCAGCCATGGTAACCCGTCACAAAGCTCTGGTGTATTGAATCTTGTGTTAAAAGGTGTACTCGATACTGTCCATATAATTCATATTAAGTGCATTATTTTGATGCATATTTTGTCTAATAACTTAAGTAGATGAGAAGTTCATGCATTTCTGCCGCCATTAAGTGGAGGGCTATAACTAGTATATATATAATTTGCTTGGGCGTTTCTCTTCATCCAAACAGAAAAAAGTTATTTGAACCAGGGTTGCCATACTTCCATAACTTTACAGGCAATCCATACAAATTTGACCTAAATGACTTGTCCAAAAAAGTCCATAATATAAGAACTTTTGAATGTAATTATAAAAACATTAGAAAACCTTTCAAGTAAAACAAAACAGAAAATATCTGCGTTCAAAATTTCTTCCCGCTTGCTTTTAATTTGTATGATCATTATCTTGAGAAATTCAACACAGATAAGAATGGCATATTGTTCACTTATGTTCTAAATTAGGCTGCAGCCTCATGATCATATGATTCAGAATAATATAGATGTAACGTCATAAAAACACACTTGTTCAGATATTTGACATATTGATTTAGATTAAAACTAGTTTATTTTAAATATGTGTCCCTACTATAGTACTAAACTATTTTTTGTTTGTAAAAATTGTGGAGATTGTGATAAAAATATTTGTCAGTGATATTTTTTTTTTTTTAGTTGGCAACCCTGATTGGAGCACAAACTGATTTGTCTATCGATTTCAAAGAAGTGAAGCACTTCTGTTTCTCTTCTTTATTACTATCTTATAATATACTGTATCTAAAGTGATTAAAAAATAATTAAAAGTTGTTTTTTTAAAACATGATTATAAAAATGGAGCACTAGTACTATTCCCAGTAAAAAAGTTACATTTTCATAATTTAACTAATATGTTAAGAACTATATTAGATTTCAGCTAACCATGATTATTTATGTACAAAAATAAATTTTCCTTTAATGAAGGGAATAAATTTATTAATGTTCAAAAACAATTTTTGTGAGGATGTCATGCCATCTTCTAAAAATGATACAATGTTAAGTTTGTCTTTTGCTTTTTAGCTTAAGTTCCAAGCAGACATGAGACTTGAATTATGTTGTCAGCTTTTTTAAAGTTACAAGAGTAAAAAAGGTGTCAAATCGACATGACCTATTGAAACATTTGATATAAACCTTGAGGAAAATAATAATTTCCATTATTTCCATTTAATTTATGGATGAAATGGGGAAGCCCTCCATTATGAATAAAAAAATGAAGATAAAAAAGCTGAAGCAGCCGCTGCATAAATGAGTGATAAGCAAATAAAAGCAGTGAACCGGAACAGTGACTTGAGCACTCAATATATTTTAAATAATGGTTTGTGGGAGAGTTAGGCTTTTAAGGATATTGTAATAAATGATGGTAAGGCAGGGAAAGGGGATCTTTTAATAAAGTAAATACAAAAAGACTATCTGCATAACAGCACAGTTAACGTAAACTTAGTCTTGCCGTGAAACAGTTTTATTGTTAATTAAAATAAAAACAAAATTTAGTACTAGTCATACAACAATTGGATGGAAGTTGTTCTATATTTTATTTGCATTTGAGCTTTTGTATACACATGGTGAACATAAAGGGTATCCTCTATTCAGGCAAACAAGTCCATGTGTAAAGATGTGTAAAATCTTAAAACAAAAAAATAAAATGAACAATAAATATCACAAATATAATAAAAAAAACTTTGATTTTCAAACTTAGACTACACCAGCGTTTACCCAATGAACAGTGAGATGATGCAAAGACTCAAATTGCTCTGAGACAAACATTGGATTAAATTATCAATATATAACATTTTTTGCCACCACCCACTGGAATACATTTAAAAATTAGACATTTTTGCAGTTTCTTATATTAGCATATTTAATGTTTAGTTTGAACAACATTAACATTTTAGCAATATCCATTTAAAACTTATGTCCACGTCATTTTTAGCCCCACCTGAAATTCACATAATCCAACAATTGAACTTTTAAATAAATAATTGTTTTACATACAATTTTATTTCACTTTTTATTATAAGTGATCATTTCTTTGTGAATGGACTTTGACTAAGTTCGTTGCAGCTGCATTCAGCTTATTTGTTATTACCATAGCAGCGTGTTTGATTTATATTGGAATTTGGTACATTATTTGTTAAAACCACAGTAATAAAATACCATATACATGTTCTATTCTAAACCATATTCATTCTTAAGCCGACCCACCCCCCCCTTTTTTTTTTTTATGGGAAAAAAATTAAAAAATATTTTCCCCCCCCCCCCCCAAAATGGAACCTTAAAATATTATGCCAGTTCCAGTGCTATAACAAAGAATTTCTAGGTTGAGATGAAGATGGTGCTGAAAAAAATTATTGAAAAGAACCACCAAGTTATATGGTAAACCAAAGAGTAAGCAAGTGAATAAAAAATTGTTTTGAAATCAAATTTTGTAGAATATGACGTTGAAAGTTTAAGAAGAAAACAAATTAAATTTAATGTAAGTGCAGATATTTATTGTTACTGAAAAGTTTTCAAATCTTGAAGAGCATTTGGTAAGCCAGGACCTGAGCCATCTAAAATAACAATTTCATTATTGTGTATGTGCCTGGAGAAAATTATATATGACCGCTCACAAGATGACCATCTCACTTATTTCACTGAAAATAATATTTGTTTAAGTCGGCTTTAGCACAAGCTTATATTGTAAAATGCATCTTTTTTTCTTTTTTTTTTTTAAATACGACATTAAATAATCAAGTCTTTATTTTATTTTATTTAAATAAAAAAGACAAATAAGCTAAAATTAAAACACAAGTTTGTTGAAAATTAGTTTATCAAGTCTGACTTATTTCAATGAAGATTGGGCATGTACTATTAAATAAAACTTGGGCAGTGAATCCAAGGGTCGGTGGAAGACCGCAATATAGGGGCAAAATTAATATTTAAAAAAGGTAATGGTGCATTCTGGGGAATAGTTGTGTAAATATTATTTTAAATTTCTTAGAGTTACTTTGTTACAAGCAACAGTAACGCTGGAATGTACATTCACATTTGTATTCATCTTAACATCATTATCAATGGTTAATATAAAGATTTCATTATAAATAATCACATTTTTATACGGATGTGGTAAGAACTAATTATATAATCTTCATTACTGACTGCATTTGGAGCAAGTAAGAAGGTTTATTGGAAGAAAAGCTGATTTTTTTTCAAGTAACTCATGTTGAAAATGATATATAAAAAAAAGATAAATATCAATAAAGAAATGGGACTTCATTCTGGAAGCAAATATGAGTTAATTATTTTTTAGATCTATTTTGTAATATACTGGTGAAACTCATGTAAATATTTTTATTTAAAAATGTTATGTTTTCACAAGAAAATTTATTCCTGAATTTGAAAATGCTCTCAGTTAAATTTTATTAGGTTTCCAGGGAGAAAAATTAGAATGATAAAAAGTTGCCATTTTTATGGAAAGAAACAAAATATACTGTTCATACAAGAGAAATAACAAAGTGACAAAATACTGACACTTTTTAAATTAAAATAACCATGACAAGCAAATCCATATTTAGCTGAATGAAACCTAACTGAGAGTTCACAGATGTTGAAGAAACTGATGTACTGAACATAAAGTGTGAAATAATGTTACTTAGATGACCTTGCACTTTCATCATTCAAAAGCAAAGTTAGCAAAACATCTGTTCAATTTCAATAGTCATTTAAATTCCCTCATCATACAATAACCTTTAAAAAACATATATTGAAACCCCATAGGATCTGCCATTGAGGTAATAATTTGGAATTCAAATATGCATTCTTACAAACCATGAAAAAAAATTAATTCAAAACAGGAATGATTTCTTCCATAAATATATTCCATACAGAATGGAATGTTTGACATCCAAAAAAAAAAAAAAATGTTTACTTGCAATTGCGCCATACATCATGCATATTCCCCCAAAAAATATTAAAATAAAAATCGAAAGAGCAAAAAAATTAATTCAAAAAAGGAATGATTACTTCAATAAATATATTCCATACAGAATGGAATGTTTGACATCAAAAAAAAAAAAAAATGTTTACTTGCAATTGCGCCATACATCATGCATATTCCCCCAAAAAATATTAAAATAATAGAGAAGATGTGGTTTAAAATTAATGGTTGATATTTGCAGCACATTATTATTAACATACAGCAGTATTTATTTGTGGTGGGATGTGAAAAATTTAAAGAGATAAAATCTAAATGGCATTAACTAAAAAAAACAATAGATATCATTTAGTCATTATGCTGTCTCAAATGTTTGCATTTTTTAACCCACTCCTGACTAAACCGCCATCCCCATTGCCTTTAGAAAGAATTTCTGCTTGATGCCCAATGTTGCTGTCATATGTTTGTTAAGGGCACCTAGCAACCTAACACCTGTACAACACAATTTCTAAAGTTGACTATTAATTCTCATGAGAACAGAACTATTTTTGAATATATCAAAATTTGCCTATCTTCTATCATAAAATATTTACTCGAATTAAAAGTTTAGAATGCCTTTTCAAGCTCAAGTGAAGTTAATTATTCTTGCAAGTTAGTTGATTTATCTGAATCAAACTTTCCAATTCGTAAGGTACATCTATAGATAATTCTTAAAATTTACAGATTTTCAAATTTAGACATTATTCTCTTAATAACTGTATTTTTTACCTTGATTATAAATTTTCAATCACTTTTTTCTAAAAATGTGAAATAAAACAATGGCCTTTCATGATTTATATTTATTTTTTATGCTTAGGTATGCTTAGAGTTTTTACATCGAAAGTAGGTTCAGCAGATCTGGGTTAAAAAGACATTTTCAAAGCCAACAAATTTGCTTGAAATGGTTTTGATAATTAAGTCATGACAGATCTTTTTTTTTTTTTGAGAATATCTTTTACCTCAGTTACAAACTTTTATTATATGGCATTAGGGCAACATCAACAAATCATTTATACAATCAAAAAAAACACCTTAAAAAAAAAAATAAAAATTTTGATAATTAAGTCATGACAGATTTTTTTTTTTTTTTGAGAATATCTTTTACCTCAGTTACAAACTTTTATTATATGGCATTAGGGCAACATCAACAAATCATTTATACAATCAAAAATAACACCTTAAAAAAAAAAATAAAACTAATGACATAACTGAACCTGGTATATAAATAATTAGAGACTTAGTGTTACAACTAATGAGTTAAAGCAAGAATTGCTCATGGATGCAAAGTAATTATCCCTTTAAATTAAGTGATTCATATTTAAAATATAGACTTTAAATCTAAAACCATTGTAAGTATTTTTCAGCATTTTTGAAGCTCATACAACAAACAAGAACAGAGCCTAAATGACTGACAATCAACTTAATTTCCCCAATTCAGCTTTTTTAATGATTTCTGAAGCTGAAAACACCAGACCATCAATGATTCCAGCAACAGTGAAGGTCCCACCAATGATAGCACAAACCTAGAGATGAGAAGGAAAGCAAAGAGCAATAAAATAGAAGGAGATTTAAGCCTATCTCAAAGCTATACATTTGTGGGCATAAAAATGACTATTTGTTACAGTTAATTTGAAATACTTCCCCACCATATACAATAGATATATTTTTAAATAATTATGAAAGGAAGAAATAATTGTATGCTCACCATAACTAAAAAGGTGTAGAATGGTTTTGTTTTTTCAGTGTAGCGTACTGTTATTGGACTAAGATCGTAACGGAACCAGATAGCAGGTGAAGCAACACCACCATGACCCATTTGGATGATGTCCTATATTATTTTTGAAAGAGGATTTAAAAAATCCAAAACATGAAGTTATATCAATTGCACGGTTAGAAATCAATTTCAACACGTTCATGTTTCTGTTATTCTTCTAATGTGAAAGGATAAAAAATAACGATGCTATAGATAAAGAAGAAATATGTACAGGGGAAAAGATGACGGTGAAATGACACAATGAGTTTTTTTGCAAAAAAAGTGAGTTACATAAAAAAAACTAAACATGTTCCTATTATTCAAATTTCTGGCCAATATAACTTTTGAATGGCAACAGAAAATCATTGTAATGTCATTATATTTATGATCATCAGTAAAACATAAGGTAACTATAGAAATATTCAAATTGCCCAATTACGTTTCAAACACTAAAGCATGGGTTGGGGAACTGGGGTAAATTACCCCTAATGGGTAAATTACCCCTAATGATGTAAAAATTAAAATATTGGGGATAATGTGAGCTCAAAAGAGATAAATAAAATTATATTTAAAGCCCGTTCCTTTTTACTAATTAATTTTTTTTCAGGCAACAATGCATCTGGCCTCTGTAACAGTGAAACGCACTCAACATTTTGTGGTCCCCAGCAGTGTCTTGGAACCTAGCATAATCTAATGTCTCTTCTTCTATACACGATTTTTGGCCTAGTCGCCTTGTTTTTTTTATTTCAGTGGCAACACTAGAATTGTTCACCCAGTGCGGTAAACTCATGGTCACTCCCAACCCCACCACCACCCAATCCAGACTTTCCCCATGAACCTTCTCCAAGTCTGCCTTCTTTGGTGACACCCTGATCTGGTGGTGCCTTTTCCTTATGACATCCTGCTCATATGTTTTTCTCAGATCTGTTACAAAAAAGACTTTATTGAGCTCTGTCAAATCTACTAATGTACTCTTTTTTTATTTGGTATCTTCCCTTTTTGAGGTTGTCATCCCCCTGTAAGGGTGTATCAACGTGTGAAGGTGTCGCCAGGTGTCATCCCCAACCCTGCGTGATGCTATTGCCTATGCTAAAAAGGGACTGGAGATCTCTCAAGGAGGCAGTCAGTGGTTACTGCCTTTTGCAACAACTTACCTGTACAAACAAGAAATAAATTAATTGACCCAAAAGGTGGTATCCAAATTGCTCTGTTATTAAAAAATCCCCAATTTCGATGTCATTGTATCAAATTAAAACAAGATTTCTGCACAATTTGAAAAGAATTTTATTTCAAAGAAATCCTTTTGTTCCCTAATGTGGATTTTATTAAGTACTTTTATCGAATTTATTTTTACTTTTATGTTTATAATTGTCTTATCCTATGGCCATTTTGATTTTAAATGGTCTATGATTTTCTTTCTTTCAAATTAAGGGGGTAACATTGGTGTAAACAAATATATTTTGGGATAATGGCTAAAAAAAGGTCGCTAAAGGTCCACTGCACTAAGGGTTGGTATGAACACTTAAGTCTTCCTACTCATGTGGGCTCAAAAGGCTCACTTCATTGTTTGCTGCTTAGAACAAAACAAACACTAGGGAAACTATAGAAGCTAACAGAGCACACACAAAAACATGATGACATCTGAGGTGCAGGACCATGATGTTTCAAAACAAACTATGGAAAAAAATGAAATATCTAGTTTAGGTTTTTATAAGTTACTTTTGACCAAAAACCCTAAGGTAACAACTTACCCTATATGAGTAGGTATACTGGAATGGATAGCGGATATTGTTACGTTTATCTTCATAGACTGATGGAACAATACGAAGAATATAATCATGGGTGGCCATGGCTGAGGATTTTAAAAAATGAAACCAAAACATTTACATCTGCAATTCAAGGAGAAAGAAAAAGCTAATGTATTTAATGAAAAATCCACAATCAAAATGAAATTTTGAAATTTATGAGTAATTTTTTTAACAAGCAAATTTTAAAAAAAAAATAATTTTGAAAAAATATTGTTTCAGCAAAAGCTCCTATTTTTTGCTTAATAAAGTCACATAAATCGATAATTCCTTCAAATGCAACTTCTCCTTTAAATTACTTTAAAGTTTTGTTTTTTCTCACTGAGTTAATATGTCTCTAACTATAAAGTGTGGAGGTCTCAAACAAAACTGACTGCAACTAAATAAATTAAGCTTTTACCGGATCCTAAAAAGAATTCTTGAACTGAATAAGGAGAGTAAGCAAAGGAATCTTTCTCCTCACTCCAAAACAATGCTCTAAGTTATTTTTTAAACAGCAATGCCAACCTATCTCTCACAATCTATTCATACTAACCATAAAATTAATGACTAGAGTTTAGATATAAACATTTTATAGCATCAAGCTACTTACGATTTGAAGCTTTTTTGTCAACATTTTCCAGAGGATTAAATGAGCCTTTAACATTCTGGGGAAAAAATATATATAAAATTATCAAAACTAAACAGATTTATTTTTTAAACTGAGAGGATGGGGATTTTGGGGGGTGGGGGTGGATGTGGATGACTCACACATAAAATAGAGTTGCGGTTACAAAGCACAAGAGCCTATCAATAATATATAATAAAAATAATAAGTGATATCTGCTCACAAGCTCTAAAAGTGTGACACCAGATGTGAAGGTAACAGGTGTTCTTTATTAGTATAGATATTTATTGGCTGTTTGTTTTGGGAGAAGCAATATCTTCAAACATAGTGGTTGGACTTATTTTGACATCTGGCTGCCTCGGGCCCTGGTTTTTGTGTGTTTTTTTTACACTAAACCAGTGGTTCTCATCATTTTACATCAGTGGACCACATTCTCAAATCACATAGTTTAGGTTGAGGACAATCACTTAACATTTAACAAATAAAGTAGACAATGTTGTTAAATTTTTTTTCTTCTGAAACACAAGGAAAAAGTATAGGTATTCTTAAAGAAGAATTAAATTATCTTTATACAATTTATATTTTACAATAACATTACATATATGGGGGTGTTCTGCTGGCATTTTGCATTTATTTAAATATTAGTGAGGCCTTCAAGAAGTTACAAATTATCTCACTTCTGGTTCAACTTCCAAATAATTTATCTGTATAATTTCATAGCACTAATGGCAGAAATGCATTTTTGGAGATTAAAGTTGAGTGAGAGGAAGTATGTGGTGAATATTCTTCGTTAATTGAATTTTAAAAAAATAATATATGATCACCTTTTTTGGTGATCCCAAAATACTTCAAAATTTGTTCTGGTTGTGAAAAGGATAAAACCTGACTGTCATATGGTTAAAAGGGATCAATGTCCAGAAGTTTCAAGATACAGAATCAGAACTCTCCAGGAGATATTATTCGAGTTGCATTGGAAAAATAAAAATTTCTTTTTTTAATTGTATGCCAACTGTTCAGCTGTGGAATACACTTACTAATTGTTTCTTACAGTAAATTTTAAACTAACCTTTCCTTCCTCAAGGTCCATACCAAAACGTAGCTTATGAACTATATGAGTCATATCAGGGTTGTCTGGCTGGGAGTGGGATGAATGGGTAGAAATATGGAAGTTACCAGGCACCTGTTGAAAAAATTATAAATATCAAATATAGTTATCCATTCATCTCATTTATACAATTTTAAAGAAGTTACATGCATTTTAACATGTTATTCTATTAAGAATTGTCACATTTCAAATATAAGGTATTTTAACACAGTGAAATCAGGCAACTAGCAGGTGTTACATTTACATATTTGTTTACAGCACTATAGCAATATTATGGTAGTGAATTATCAATAATCTTTTAAATTAACATCTCCATATTCAACCTCTTTAATTTCAACGAATGAACAACCTTATTTATTAGAAAATGAGACTCAAATCTGCAGCCTTTAGCCTCATTGACTGGATCTTTGTGTGTGTTGTCCCTGAACCCTACTTCATGACGACCCATGTCATCTTGAATATCAAGACCAATGTCTGAGAAAGACAAAGATATTTAGTATTTGAAGCTTTCATTTTCAAAAATTTTAGTAACTCAAAGCTCTCAATACCACGTACCAGTATATAGTTGTATGGAAGATAAAATTTATTGCAGCCGAATTTCAAAATCAGCTAATTTCTTAAAATCTCACAATTAATTTCCAAACACTTGCTAAAGGTATTTATTGTTTTACAAAACAGACTTACATTCACAAGGCATGTTTGGCAATGTAAGATTAATGAAAACAGGAATTTTTTCAGAATGCTTGACTGGATCCTCCACCGAAAGAACACTTTGTCTGTTCACAGAGTGTATGATAAAATACAAATTGTTTAATATTTTTTGACATAGAAAATGACAAAAGGGGAAAATGTGTCTACTCTTGGACATGAGATTTGAGATAAAGATGGAGCTATTGCAATGGATCTGATAAAAAATGTTTATATATAAAAAATAAAGAAAGAAAAGGACTTAATTAAATGTTTATTAAAATGAAAGAAATAAGTCTAATGAAGAAATAAAAAAATTAAAACTTACACATCAACAGTCAGGTAGTCTCTAAGCTCAGAAATAAAAAGAAATGTCATAAATAGACAGCTGCAAATAGAAATTAATGCTCCAGTCAAAGTGGGTTGAGTTAAGTCTTTTGGCACCTTCCGGTAGATATCAAATCTGAAAATTTCAGAAAATATATTTAACAGTTATTTTTAACACAGTTTAATAAAATACTGATTAAAATAATTATATTTTCTATTTACAATTAAACAATAAAAAATAAACCTTTAAGTTTTCTATAGGGTTTCTTTCATGATCAAGAATTCATCTTAATATATAGAAAAAAATTACTCAATTTTTGAAGCTATGTTTGCTTTTTAACTTTGAATGTAGCCATAAAATGTTAAGTATCAAACTAAATAATGCAGCTGCTCCACGAGTGGCCAGCTAAATAAGAAATTGGTGCCACACAAGAATGAAAATTCTATAATTGTATTTTTGTCCTTTATTGTTATATATTTGTAGAGAATCTCATCTACTTGTATGTTAGTGCACAGTATCTATAGTACTTGTATGTTAGTGCACAGTATCCATAGTACTTGTTTTAGATGACCATAACTATGAGCTCTAAGAGGATGTCAAAATATCACTGTCGTTTCTTCATTCTCTTCATGACGATGTCAGCATGAAAATCTTACAGTGATAAATCAAATTACCTGTGACCTCCCTACAATTTTAAAAACCTCTGAGGTACCTAATTTCATGTGCTTTAAATCTCCACCCCTATAACAACCAGCACATACAAAAAAAGTGATGTCCCTGTCGAAAATCTCTTTCTATTCTTGTGGTCAATGCTATAGCTGGGAGTGACCTCAGACAAAAATTGAACCTTCTACCTCATGGATAGGACAGTGTCGCAAAGCTATCATTGCACTGCAGTACAAAGTAAATTACTGAATTTAGTATTTAGCTTAGGCAGTTTAATAAAAAGATCTCCCCCCCCACCACGAAAAAAACTGCAGTTGGCTGAAAATACCACTCTCAAAATATATATATATAATAATAATAAAGTTCATTTCAAAAACACGCTTCATCCCCAAAGGCTCGAAGCGCTGGACAAAGTCAACAAAAAACAAATCTATAATTTACCACATTTAAAACAAATGCAACACTACAAAAACTAATTACAAGCATACAATGTCAAAGTCTTTCTAGCCATTTCAACCATAAGCAACACAGCCATTATGCATTAACTGGAAAATAAGGTAGACAATCATCCCAGAAGGTGTTTGCGAAATAGATGTGTCTTTAAATCGGTTTTAAAGGACTCCAGTGTCTGGTTGTTTCTGAGATCGACAGGAAGGGCGTTCCAAATTGTTGGACCAGCAATTGCGAAAGTATGCTTTCCGTAAGTCTCAAGGCAAACACGTGGTGTCGAGAGTTTGCCACTAGTGGGTACATAAGGCGTCAGCAGCTCTTTCAGATAGGACGGCGCCAGGTCATGTAAGCAGCAGTAGCACAAAGTTGCGATTTTGTACTCTATGAGAGCGCGCACCGGCAGCCAGTGCAACTCTCTCAGAAGTGTTTTTGCATGGTCGAACTTGCGTTTGCGGAGAGCAATGCGAGCCGCATTATTCTGTGCTATTTGAATTTTATCCAGGAGCGTAGCTGGAAGATCCACCATGAGTATGAGAGCATTGCAATAGTCCATGCGTGATAGCACAAATACAGAAATCAGCCTCTTTGTTGCATCAATTGTTATAAAAAAGGGCCGTAGGTTGTAGAAAGGGTGTTGGTGAGGGAGCATTGTACCCCTGGCTGCACTTTTTACTTTAAATTATATTGTCATTTATTGTATTGATGGGGTGGCATTTTCGGTTTCGCCCACTGAGGCCACTGTTTTGTGGAAGGAACCAAGCTAAAATCTTGGCCTGTACCTGGCGGCACTAACGGTTGGTAAGCCCCTACTTATTATTGAAAAATTAAAGAAGTTAAGGCCTTCTGAAATAGTGAAAAAGACAAAAAGAAACCTATTAAATATTCTAAAACCTTAAAATTAAGAAAGTGACTTTCTGAGTCATACAGAGTGTGAGTGTGTTAGTCAAGTGGGTAGTAGTAAGTATTTAGTACTTACCAAGTAGTAAGTAAGTAGTAGTAAGTAGTACTCATCTTAGTAAATTAATAAGTAGGTTTGTTAATATAGGAAGGCAGGAGGGGTAATCATCCAGTTTAGGTGCCCAAATTCAAATGTGATATTACTGACATTATTATGTTGGTAAATTTGGAGAGATAGTACCGCGGCCACCATCTTGGTTGCGGCGACCCACGAATTTATGTCCTAAATGTATCCATAAACCTAACCTGAACCCTAAATCTATCCCTTAGCTGTAGCTTAAAGCCGAAGCTAAACCTAACCTGAACCTTAACCTATCCCTTATCTGGGTTTTGACCCTAACGGAACCAGGGTTTTGACCCTATCAGAACTAGGGACAAGACACTTAAATGTAGTTAGGGTACTATCTTTCCAAATTAGCCAAAACAAGTTCAAGAAGGATGACATTCTGTTTTTTCTTGGCTTCAGTTGTTGACTATCCTCCGCATTGGCAGACTTTCATACCGTTTTATGCTTTAAAAAATTGCTTAGTTGTCAATTACATTGTTGTGAATTTGGGCACTAGTTACGACTAGTAGTACTACTCAGACTGGTAGGTGTAGTGGGTATACCGGTGTAGTGTAGTGTAGACTTAAAATTAAGAGACCACCGGACCGATAGACGCTACTAAAATTATTTAATATATATATTATATTTAGAATAAAATAATTGTTTTTTAATTGTTAAAATTATAAATTACCTTCGAATATCGAACTGCATCTTTAGTCGTTTGGTTTCTTGCTTCCCAAATGGTAAAAACTTAAAATATCTTTTTATCCTCAGTCGGTATTGAAGTAATGATTGATTAAAGCAATCTACCGAAATAATTATTAAAACTCAGTAAAAACACAGCCTTTTCTAAAAACCCAAATTAAGAAACGTCATTATAACTACAAAAGAAATAATATTTACATAGCCTAAATAAACTCGATCTCTTATTTATTTGAAAGTACATTTAATTTTTGTGACATAAATTATAATTTAAAATTAAATAATTACATTTTAAGGAAATCAGTTCTATGTAAAAATGAAAATATTCGATAATTTATTCAACTAAATTTTAGAACCAACCGATAAAAAACACGTTTAGTTAAGTTTAGCTCTTTACGTGCCATGGGCCATATTAATTTTTTTAAACAAAATATTTTTTAACCAAGAACCAATATTTAGCAAAAAAAATATAAACTGTTTATTATTGTTAATGCTATTATTTTTATCTATACTAAAATATTTTCATTTATTAAGTATTATGATCGATGTTTAAAATATTTGATTAAACAATTGAACAAATATCTCTGACAATCATTCTTGAAAAATTCTGGGTATTTGAAAGTGTGTTTCAGACATGCGCAACTGGAGTGACTCCGTCGCCGTCAAAGTCATTACGCCTTGAATTGGCGCACTTCCATTCTATTTTCGTATAAGAAGACTCAAATCTCTACATACCCGACTCAAAAAGCTCTCTTGTTTCTTCAAAACATCAACATAAGTGTAAGTTAATAAACATTGACTTCACGTAAAATTTAAGTTAAATACATACACGTGACGTTGTGGGCTTATCCATTTCATGGTTGTTTTGTGTGATCTCACTGAAAATTAGTTCTCACACAACAGAAACAATAGTCAATAGCAAATGCTTCAAAGTGCCTCAGTGCAGTATCAACAATCTTTCTTTCCACAAACAATAATAACAAGGAACAACCTGAGCGATGCAACTGTGAACTCGACATCAGTCGAAAGCTTCAAGGCTGCCCTGGCATCAGCTAGGAGCTATTAGAATAGCAACATCATACCCCCAACCGTTGCAAAAATGCCAGTACATGGATACAGCAACGAAACATTACCAGAACACTGTTCTTGATTTTTATTTTAATTAATAGATTAAGATTTATTAACAATAAAGAGTAGTCTACTGAGTAGTATTTAAATAATTTAATAGTCAATAGTACTACTTACTACTAACTTAGGTATACTGCCAAAGTCTATAGCCTATGACTATGTCCAATGCCTAAAATTAAAATCTAAAAATCTAAGTCTCTCAAGTGAAGTCAGTAAGTGTAGTGTAAGTCCTAGCCTAGACGTTTTGTCTGATTAGTTAAACTTTAAATTTAAAATTCAAGTCAAGCAAAAGTATATTATTATTATAAATTAAATTTTCAACAATGATATGAACTATAACACTGCTAAAAAAAGCTATTGTAATATAAATATTTAATTACAAATTACAACACAGTTTCTGACAGTGAGTTCAGTAGGAGGGGTTAGGTTAGGGTGACCAAATCATGAGCAGGAAAAAATGGGACACACCCAAGGAGGTTTTTTGGGGGGATACCAGAGGTGTAGTGAAGGGGGGCAGGGGTACAGATGTTCCCGGGTGCCAGCTAATTAGGGGTTAAAAAATGTGCTATATTATTATTTTATTGATGAAAATAATGGGTTTGAGAGTTGAAAAAAGAAAGGGGCGCATAAAAATGAATCTTGTCCCCGGGCGCAAACACTCTCGCTATGCCTATGGGGGATACCCTCTAGCTAAAGAGGGGGCCTCCGCCAAAAACTGTTTATTGAAATGTGTTAATTTTAACTATTTTGAGACCTAGAAATCTTTTTAAGTTTACCTTCACCATTTTTATAATTTAATTTAAACTCTGGGGAATGTCATAAACAAAAACAATAATTTTGCAGTTAATAATTATTTATTTATGCATATAAGATCTATGGCAGGGACACTGGTTTACACAGCATCGGCAGAGTGGTTGTAGGGGAACATTGCAGCCATCAAGCGAGCCCACATCACTACTGGCACTGGCAACACAGCTAGCCAAAATATTAATTGACGTTATAATATAAAGTAGGAAGTTTTAGTGATTTAAAAATGTGTTTGGTTTTAGAAAAGGAACATTTATTTTATTTTTTAGGCGTCCTGAGAGACTTTTTCGGGACACTGGGTACAATCATGAAAAAACTGGAAAATCACGTTTTTACGGGACATTTCTTCACCCTAGGTTAGGTATTTTCTTTGCTTGCTTATATTGTGAATAGTTTGGACTGAGTACCTCGTTTGATATTTGTAATTAGACTTAAGTACTATAACTGTTGACAACAGTTATAGTACTTGAGTCTAACTACAAATGTCAAACGAGGTACTCAGTCCAAACTATTGAATTGTCAATACTACAATATGAGCAGGCAAAGAAAATACCTAACCCCTCCTACTGAACTCACAGTCAGAAACTGTGTTGTAATTAAATATTTTATATTACTAATGGCTTTGCCTAAATATTTTATTTTTTTTTGGTAGTAGGCCAAGTAAAAAAAAATTATATAATTATTAATACATATTATGATATATATATATATATAGCCATAGTCTAAGTATAAGAGATTTTTTCTAGGCCCTTTAATTTTAATGCCTTTATGATCAGTATAGATAGTAGTAGCAGTATAGTAGTATAAAAGGTTTAAAGTCCAAAATGTGTAAATAGGTTATTAACATATAAGGCAAAGTTTTACGCCTACGTACTCCTGTTTCAACTTATACATTATATGACCATTTTCACATAAGTATTGATTTAGTACTTGTCTGCTAATTTTTCTATCTATATTTGACTGTACATTAAACCAATAAACTTTATTAAAAGTATTTCCAGTTTTATAATTTATATAGTCTTAATACTAATAGTTTTATAAAGATACATATGTGTGACTTTGACCCCACACTTCTAATTCCCTTTTTATTGTGCAACAGGTATCAGCAGACAATCAAGGTCCCTTAAAAATTTAAAATTGACGGTTACTTAGTCAATATGGAAGAAAATGCAGAGGAAGGTTTTCAGTACCATATTGAAGTGCAAGAAGGCGTGGAGGGGGCAGATGGGGAGGTCATTATAATTTACAATTATGATGGTGCTGAGTTAACGCCGGAGTTGCTTGCTAAAACTCTTGAAGAGCTTTCTACACAAACTAGTTTACAGAGGTCTGCTCTCAATCGGGGTCAGTATGCACAACAAGGAGGGGCTGTTGTATGCCTCCCAAGTCAAGATGAACTAAATATTTCTGCTCAGTTGGACCCAGAAATGCTGAGTGCTCCTGTGATAAAAATAGAGGATCAAGAATCACTTCTGAGTGTAGATATACAAGGTCCATCTCATATCTCCACAGATTCTGTAAATCTAAGCAGTAACAATGATGATAGAGTTAATAATGATAAAAAACCTGATCTGCAAATTTTAAACAAAACTGGAATGAACATGAAAGAACAGAGTTTTGTTGAATCGATTGCAGTTGAGGTAGACCTTGAAAAAGTAAAAGTAGAAAATATTGTGAAAGATATAACAGGTAAGAAAGATGCAGTGGACAATGGATCTGTTGAATCCTATTCTAAGCCAATCAACCAACAAAGTGTACCATTAATTAAAGTTGAAGATTTAAATGATGTTCTATCTGATAATGAAGACAAAGAATACACATGTAACCAATGTAGTTTTAACTGTAAAAAAGAGATAGAATTACAAAGACACAACAAATTAGAGCACAAGGAGAAAGATCCTTTTATCTGCAGACACTGTAGTAAAGCATTTCATCTCGAATTAAGCCTGTCTATTCACAAGCTTGGACACCTAAAATACAATTCAAGCCTGGACCCAAGAATAGACCCAGGTTTTATTCGCAAAGTCATGAAATTTTTCTCCTGCCCACTTTGTGACTTCCAATACCAAAAAAAGGTTCAGTTAACCCACCATATGAAAAATGTTCATCCAGATGAAGAGTACCACCGATGTAGTAAATGCAATTTTTCATGCCTGACCGAAGATGAACTAACTTCACACTTATCATCTCCAGCACATGAAGAAGAAAGCCGCACACTGTGTCCCTTGTGTGGTACAGCCACAAAAGATATTCGGCAACACATTCGCCGAACACACAATGACAATCGGCCTTTTTTGTGTACCCAGTGTGGATTTAAGGCTAAAACTTTTACACATCTTAACACTCACATGGTCATTCACGATCCGGTCAAGAGAATTCAGTGTGACATATGCGATTATAAATGTCGTACTAAAGACCAGCTTAAAAAACATCTTGTCAAACATTCAACAGAAAAGGAATTTAAGTGCAATTTGTGTCATTTTGCCTGTAAAACTAGTATGAGTTTAAAACGTCACATGCAAATTCACAAAACCCCAAATAAATATGTGTGTTATATCTGTGAGTTTACAACGCACGACAAGCTTATTTTACGCCGCCACAAAGCCCAAGAACACATTCTCAAGGCATCATACAAGTGTCGGGAGTGTGACAGTCATTTTGAAAGAATTGTTGAGCTAAAAAAGCATGCACTGGCCGAGCATAAAAGTGAGAAAACAGAGTTTTGTTCCTACTGTGACTTCACTGGTCAGACACTGGAAGAGCTTAGAATACATATGCAAAGTCACTTTGGTAAGTTCCCTTTTAAGTGTGATGTGTGTGGCTACATGTGTAGGTTGAAGGCATCATATCATCGTCACATTGAAAGACACAACAAGGTCAAGAAATTCAAGTGCACCCTCTGTACATATGCCAGTGTTGAGAAATATGATCTCCAGAAGCACTATGCTCACCGCCACTCGGATGATAAGCCACTCGCTTGCCCATATTGTTCCTATCGGTGCAAGTTCAAACCTCGCCTAAACAATCACATATCATATGTGCACTCCGACATCAAGCCGTTCTTCTGTAAACTCTGCCCATACACAGGCAAATCTGCAGAGAACTTGAAGAAGCACATGGTGAACCATGGTGTGGTCATCAAGTCCCTACAGTGTGTACTGTGTGATTATGCTACTGCTGAAAAGGCGAAGTTGAAGCGGCACATGCAAGTGCATGTTAAAAAGGCAATATTTCAATGTGCTTAAATGCTTTTTTGAGCAACTATCAAGGTGGATTGGAGAATGTTAATGTAAGGGACCATATCTTTGCTTTGTTTATTCTGTCCAATGTACTTACAAAGAGAAATACAATGAATGGTTAATATTTTCAAATCTATTTAAATCAATGATTCATTGAATATCTCAACAGCAATCGAGGCATACATTAATTAGATTTAATAAAACATAAATATAGTTTCCAAGTCCATAAATTATGTATATATTATTATAACAAAGCACTTGCTTATAATCTTATAACACAGCCAAGAGTACCCCTTTTTGTATCATCTGATCTAGCCACTTCTGATTTGATTTTATTTCACTTTAGGCTTACGATTTATATTTGCATATATTTAGTAGGTTTTATCACATGGTAAGATTGATAAGAATTAACAAAGTCCATAAGCAATGTTATTTTGTTATCTGTTACAGTTTATAATTCAAATAATTCAATTAAGATTTCACAATTATTTTGACATGCACCCGGTACCAGTAGTTGATGTAGTTAAGCATGGGAAAAAATCAAGTACTTAAGCATACATCCCCTGCCGATGTGACTAAGGTTAGTCATACATGTTCCTTCCAGCCTTCCATTTTCATACAATCAGGATTCTTTTGGGTTGACTCACCAGTATACATTCAAGACTTTTTTGTTTGATTAGATTTGGATAGCTGTTACAGAAACACTCACTCAGGTTTACTGAGTCACGAGTGTTCAATGACATTCTTATATTTATTTTCTACGGACATTGTTTACTGGATCTTGTATCTTTATAAATTTTTACTAAGTTATTACATCCTTTATGCTAGTAAATTAACTACCGTACCTGTAATGTATAAAAATAATTTCATAGTCGATTAATAATAAAGAGAATGTTTTTGTTACTTTTTTTGTGGGATCTGTTATTTTCTCTAATTAATAATTAAGATATTTAGTGTGTTAAACAATGTTAATGTGTATAAAAATGACACAATTCATGTTTGTATAAAACGGGTCAGTGTACTGGGATAAATGACCCCAAATTGGGTCACAATAAAAATGTTAATCCTGGGGGGCAATGATAGGTCAATAGACATTAAAAAGTTATATTAAAAAAAGGGCGTTAATTTTTAAAGGGGAACAAAATCGTGCAACTAGAGAAATGCACCTATTTTGTAGTTACTAGCACTATAGTTCAGCACCTAACGTCACCGCACAGTCTTGTATTTGAATAAGTTAAGTTGGTTAAGCCAAGTCACCTATTTTATCTTTATGCTCCATGGCATCACTAGGTTTGGTGTAAAGGGGTGCAAACTAATTGTGGTGTCACCTCCTCCAGACAGCCCCATGGACTTCCTAAGGTAATATTTGCTGATGTGATGCCCTTCTCTTTTGGCAACTTGTGCTGTGACGCCCTACTCTGGCAACACCCTGCCCTCAATGTTCCCTCTAAGGTTTGTTGGTTCGTGTGCAAAATCATAAAGTTGTGTGCAAATTTTTACAGCATAAATTTTTTTGTGCAAAATTTTACAGACACAAACACTCAAAACTGCTGCGCGGCGTCTGTGAGATTGCTGCGCGGCCGCGCAGCTTAAAGGGAACATTGCCTGCCCTTGTGATAAACTTTCCATTTGCCCTCCCTTATTGCCACTGCTGATTATAATTAGGCTCTAATGTCAAGAGCTACAAGGGTTTTTAAAATTGCACACGAGGAGGCCATCAATGGTTGCTTCCCTTTTCAACAACACCCCAAGGATTTTCATAACTACAGAACTTTTAAAAAAAAACATATCAATCAAATTGCTCTCCCCATGTTGATATTTTATTTTATCAAAAATAAAACATTTGTTACAAATTTAAAGTGCATATATTTTTCCTGACATACTTTTTTTCCTTAATAAGCATATTATTAAGTTACCGATTGTGGTATTTATTTAATAGCATACCTTAAATAACTGTATAAGTTAGTATAATTACTGTGTATTCTTTGTATAAATAGAATGAATAACTATTTTGAATTTAAATTGGGCCTTCTGCATAACTTTAAAGCAAAATCTTAATTAGACAAATTTTCCCCGACAGAAATCCATCAATAATTATTATCGAACAACTTTTTTCCAGCATTTTTTCTCTCCTCAAGAAATTTCTTTTGAATATGAAGAGAAAGTTGTTATGTTAAAGGATTTATGGAAAGTAATGTTAAAAAAAAAGGCATCAGATCCAAATCTATTGTTCGATATTAACTTTTTAAAAGTATGGGTCAAATTTCTTTTGAATGAATGTTATATGTCAACTAGAAAACAATTTGATATGCTTCTTTGTGATCGCAACCAGGTGTGGTTTGGTACCTGGTACATTAAATAGATCTGGCTGCTTGCAAAAAAAATTGGGCTTAAATATTGTAAACTTTGGAGCACATACACCAATTCCTGGACTTGATTATTTGAGAAAATATAGGTCCTTAAACATGGCACTTTTTCACAAGGTAAAAAAATCCATTTTTGGTCGATTTTCAGCAAATTTGAAAAATCGCATAACTTTTGTGTTTATTGAGATATCTATATGAAATAAGTGGCCTATATATTAGAATAAAAATAAAAAGTTCTGTCAGGTGAAACTCACCACATATGTCTGCTATGGATAGAAAATTTTAGTTTGGACTACCTACATTAATTTGGTCTATCAATTCACGTGTCATGAAATGCTTCTTTGAGATAGCAACCAGGTTTGGTTTGGTCTATCAATTCACATGTCATGAAATGCTTCTTTGAGATAGCAACCAGGTTTGGTTTGGTCTATCAATTCACGTGTCATGAAATGCTTCTATGAGATAGCAACCAGGTTTGGTTTGGTCTATCAATTCACGTGTCATGAAATGCTTCTATGAGATAGCAACCAGGTTTGGTTTTGGTCTATCAATTCACATGTCATGAAATGCTTCTTTGAGATAGCAACCAGGTTTGGTTTGGTCTATCAATTCACGTGTCATGAAATGCTTCTATGAGATAGCAACCAGGTTTGGTTTTGGTCTATCAATTCACATGTCATGAAATGCTTCTTTGAGATAGCAACCAGGTTTGGTTTGGTCTATCAATTCACGTGTCATGAAATGCTTCTTTGAGATAGCAACCAGGTTTGGTTTGGTCTATCAATTCACGTGTCATGAAATGCTTCTTTGAGATAGCAACCAGGTTTGGTTTGGTCTATCAATTCACATGTCATGAAATGCTTCTTTGAGATAGCAACCAGGTTTGGTTTGGTCTATCAATTCACGTGTCATGAAATGCTTCTTTGAGATAGCAACCAGGTTTGGTTTGGTCTATCAATTCACGTGTCATGAAATGCTTCTTTGAGATAGCAACCAGGTTTGGTTTGGTCTATCAATTCACATGTCATGAAATGCTTCTTTGAGATAGCAACCAGGTTTGGTTTGGTCTATCAATTCACGCGTCATACCAAGGGTCATAGTTCTATTTAAATTGATGGGAATATTGAATGAAATTCACACTCCGGGCTTTTTTTTTTGGTCATGAGTTCATTCAGATGTTTAAATGAAAGTTAAATTGGCAGATAGTTCATCTGCATCTGATTGGACCAGCAATAATAAATATAATTGATTGCTTTTTAAATTGCTAAAATTAAATACACCTTTAACTTTGTATTTTTAACATTTAATAAGTTTTTAGTTTTTATTCATTCCAAAAATATACTTTTATGAAATTTATAAAGCTCCGTAGTCGTAGTAAAAACTTAACCTTTAAATTAAATACACCTTTAATACGAAAATGCCGTTTAATTCAATCAGTGAAGAGAAACTACATACATATAAGCCAAATAACGTTGACTAATGCACTTAGCACTTACCCAAAAGAACAAAGCATAGGTAGATGGATGGACGGACGGATGGATGGATGGATGGATGGATGGATAGATAGATAGATAGAATGGATAGATTAGATAGAACGCTTACTTGATTAGTTGTGCAAAAGGTATCTTTTATTCGGTAAACTATATCTATACATACATATATTATAAACATGAATGTATAGGCCTATACCCGTTTGCGCCCCTACACCATTCATCCGATTGCGATAAAACTTTGGTTAAATGGCGTGCGCACGCCCGCAAAGCTTTCTGAACTACTTTAGGGTACCGTATCCATTTTGACACATTCCTTTTTATTATTTTTTTCCTAATATAAGCTATACAAATATAATTTCATACAGAGCTATTGCATGGGTGGATGGAATTGAATCAAGTACAAGTGGCATTTCAGTTTTTGTGTGACCAAATAATAAGTAGGTTTCTGAATTAGTACCGGTACAACCATTTTAAAATTTTGCGTTTGGGGCCGGGGCATTTATATTTTTTTTTTTATGTGAGCTATATAAATATAATTTCAAACAGAGCTACTGCATGGATGGATAAATCGCTACAAGTGTGTGGACTAAATTTTGAAAATCCATGCTTCTCGCGTGGACAGATGTATGTTGCCTACTCATGCGTCGAAAAACCTTCGAATTTATTTGCGTACGCACCAGACGGAAAAAAACCAAAAAAAAACCACAATGTCTATTTAAAAATTAAATAAACTTTTCGTTTCTTTGCGTGGCATTGCGACCGTATCCGGAAATTTGATCGAAAGAAGTTTCGTCGACGGTAAATTGGTCGACGGTAATATGATCGAACGGAAATTTGGTCGAATCTTCTTTTCAATTTTTACGTAACAATTTTGCATACAATTTCTTTTTGAACGAATTATTTTGTTTTACTAACTAGTTTAGTGCGTTCAAAAAGAAATGTGACGAAAATTTCAACGTGCGAACGGAAAAAAAGATTCGACCAAATTTCCGTTCGATCAAATTACCGTCGATCAATTTACCGTCGACGAAATTTCTTTCGATCAAATTTCCGGTAACCCATTGCGACGCATGCCAGGTTCTCACTTGTAGTTATTATTAGATTAGAGTGGTTTGCATGCGCCCTATAGTTGGAGGTGGTCATAGTTTGTCTTTCAGCAAACCGGTTATCGGTTTTAGAGATCTGGTTTTAAATCGGTTTTAACTATCAGCGAGAAAAAAAAAAAACACATGGATTTGGTGGGGGGTGGTGGTGTTGGCTGAGTTTCCCCATATTCTTTCCCCAAGTCTTGTCCCATGTTTATATTACATTCTAAGCTGTTGATCACAACCATTTCAGATCAAACATTTTATTAGTTTGTCGGTGGCCCTTTATATTGTAAACCATAATCTGGTACCCTCTACGGGTGTATGGAGGAGGGACGGTTCGACCCCGAAGGCGCATTTGTTGGGTTTTTTCGGGTGGTTGGGGGCGTTTCCGGTCCACTTCATATACTTAAAATATGACGGCTTTTTTCCATGTAGAGACCTATTCTCTTTGCATTGTAGTATTTGTAGTTTTCGTTAATTAGGTGAAGCGAAATTATGCTTAGATGGATGGATAATGTAGAAAAAGATCGACAGCAGCTTGGAATCCAAGCGTGGAAGAGAAAAAGCATTAGTTAGGTCTGAGTGGAAGGAAGTGGTGAGGCAGGTGAAGGCCCCACATGGGCTGTAGCACCACAGGATGTAAACTTTAACATAATGAAGTGTGACAGGAGACGCCCCTCCCCCCCCCCCCCCCCCGAGCCGCACTTTATTTATACATTCCGGGCCCAGCTGCAGATTTTTTCGAGGGGTGGGGGGGGGGGTGAAATAATGACCTGTCCTGTGCGGAACTAACCCTTGCTAAGCGACTATGTTGGTGGTTTGGGGTGAGGGGGAGGAACGGAAGTACTAATATGAAGTTTTCATCTTTTGACAAACGTACCGTTTTAATACGGGTTCTCGCTAGTAGTTATTAATAGAGTGATTTACTGATGCAGTGTTCAAAGCAATAAGGCTTACATTTACATAGCTAAAGGTCATG